ATCATTGCTCTTTCCATCACTATGGAGATGCGGTGCTTTTAAAGAAATGGTGGATGCGACAGTGGAAGGTAAAAAGCTGCAAGGAAGAGCTTAGGAGGGCTGATCCTGGGCTCTACCAAATAACCTCTTCCACATGGCCTGTTGTTTTTCATTTCAATAGTTATAAAGTTATTTGGATTTAAAAAATAATCTTTTCAAGTAATTGCTAGTACTTCTGGCTAGATCTAAAGGTCACTGGTACTTTAGGATGGATTAATCTCAGTTTTTTATTATGTGGTGATAATAACTGCAATGAAGAAATTGAAGTTTTGATTGGGTGAGGGTGAAGCAAGTAATGTTGAAGTAATGGCAGCACTTCAGTTTACAGACAGGCCTGGGGGCTGGGGGAAGGGTGCTGACAATGAAAAGCTGGGGGCCATTCGAGGACAACAGGTACAATATGCCAAAGACGACTCAGCCTATTTCAAACTTCTCCATAGAGAGAACTGCCTGCATGGAAGTTTTCAGATTTCTTAAATTGCATGAGATCCTATTTATACTAGCAATTTCACTTAAACCTTGTCCTCAAGAGCCTTGCCTTTCATACCTTACTCATAACTCATTTCCACAACTAGTGGTCACATCTATGAAAATGAAGCTGTTAAGCAAGTAGGGCTGGCTGGCCTGAGGTGAAATTTGTGAAAGAGGCAGCCTCACCTCTCTCATCTCTATTTGAATCTTAGCAAGGCCTTTAAAGCCTTCCCCAACTGGAAGGTTTCTGGCTTTTTGTTTAGTTTTTGTCTGGAAGGTTTTGAAACCTCACCTGGGATGTCACCATCACTGTACGTCCTTCTCAGAGGTTAGTCAAGGTACCAATAGGAAAGGGAGGCTGGCCAGCTAAGTGGATACCTCAGTGATTTTACTATTATATTTCCATTTCTAATCCTATTTCAATACCCTGAATAATCCCAAAGTTTGGGAGGGAAGTAAAACTTCGTTTTTCCTTACAAATAGGTTTAAAACCCTTTCCTTAACTTGAAGCAGTGTTTGGGTACGGGGATGCATTTTGGGTGGGATCCTCATACACACTGTATATGGCTCCCCAAAGGCAAGAAAAGCTCTTGCCTCCATTTAGCTCATTTGGGGTAGACAATCTATAAAGAACGTATTATAGACTATAAAGGAAAGGAGGACAATTATATTCCTTTGTTTCTCATCCGCACTAAAAGATCCAGCAGGTGAAGTCTGAAGGAAAATAGATTTCTTCCCTCCCACTCTTAGTGAATGTGTGGTGCTGCCTCCAATCCTGCTCCACCCTTGATTTAAAAAAAAAAAAACAAAATAAAACAGAACACAACACCTAAAAACACAGGGTAGTTTGGAACTGCTGGTAGAGGAGTTGGATGATTTAACAAAAGAGACACTGACAAAAAAAATCATTTTTTTTACAATACTATAATTATAAAGTTGAAGGCACATCCTTGGCAGATATATGTTCAATTACATGCTTATGGAAAAACAAACTACTGAATATCTTGACTATAGTAGATGATTATTGCACAACATCGTCCACTGCTGTTTTGGGTATCAAACAATCAATGTTCAACAATGGTTAGTTAAACACTTCTTTAACTAAAAGCATAAGTTTGAGACGCCTGGTTTTGGCTACAAAAGGCATTTACTATCAGTGCCATTAGGGAAGCTCTTTTAATTGAAGAACAAGAATTCATGCTTTTGTGCTTTATCTGGTTACTCATACCAGATAAACTTTCAGAAGGACTACAGAAAGTTAGCGTAAAAATAGCTAATAATTTGGCACGAATCTGCATTTTTTTATATTTGGTAAAATAATATTTTTAAAATAGAGAAAAGAAACAAAAATATCCAAAAGGAGTGATTCCAGGAATGTTTTTACCTTATTAAAACAACCAGTAACCAGATGCCTCAGCCAAAGAAAATAATAAAATAGAGTAAAATAAATACTAAGAAAAATAATTTTAAAGCAAGATCCATAAGTAGTGGAAAAAATTCTCAATGAACATACATTCTTGATTTTCAGCTGTGTACATAAAAGATACGCACACTTAAATGTTTGGAAACATCTTGCCTACAATGCTATTTAAGCATTTTGAACAAAGAATACATTCAATAAAAGAATAACTTTTAAAAATTTGAAGCACAATATAAAATTATTTGTTCACAAGGCATCAAATCTAACACCTAAAACGTTGATACTAAACTATGAAAAATAACATTTCTATTTTCACAACTGACAACCATACTTCTTTAGACTATAACACTAAACAGTTATGTTTTAACCATTGAAATTTAAAAGGCATCTTTGGATATTTAAGATAAAAGGTGCCCCTTAGTTGAGTCTGAACCAGCACTGGATATTAAAACATCCTTGTTATCTTCAGACTGAGGGCGTGGTTGCTGAGTGAATACAAAAGAGTGACAAAGGAACAACAAATAAAGAACTTCAAATATTCTAATATCAAATTCAAATATAAATCCATTTTCCTTCTATATGGGTAATATATGTATATATGTATTATATGAATAAACACAGATGCATACACACACATTTATAAAATTTGTTCTCACTAGTAACTAATTACTTAAAGCTAGTTACTAACTGAAAGCAGTGTTTTTGATCTCCTCCATATGTCTCTCTCCCAGTGACTACAGCTGCTCTATGAAGCTAATGGGAGTTCAGAATTGCAAGAGACTTGTGGTAGAGAATTCAAAGATGGCTATAGATATTTAAAGCAGGATTCTTTATAAACAGCATGTTTTCTGTTCCTGTACTAAGGGCTGAAATTACATCCTTGATTTTTCCCAGATTATATAGGCTGCTCTTCTCATTGCCCTATGACATGTGGATCCCTTGGCATGTGAGGCCAAGTGGACAACTCTAACACACACAGCATAATAAAAGTAGTAACTGGCTATGTTCAAGTGCTTCAGAGAGATAGAAGAGTGAAAGTGAGGGGAAGGGGGAGGGGGAGGAAGGGAGGGAGGGAGAGAGAGAGACACAGAGAAAAGTGTTTCTTTTTCAAAAGTCTATATTATACCTTTGCCATATTAGCTATTTCTTCTAGAAGAAACAAGTTGTGGTATGACGGGCCACTGGAATTAAAATAAAAAACAAATATTAAAATTCAAATTGAAAGCATGGAAGATGGCACAGGCATTGGTCTAAAAAAGAGCCTAGACCTACCAACTCATTCATATTTCATTAAAATTGGTTTGCTTTTCTAGATTAATAGCACCTTCATCAAGTTTCAGCTCTGTCTTTAAGATAGCTGAGATAAAAATGAAATCTTTTCCAAATCTGAAAAGTCAGCATGGAATTATGTTGTAAACTTTTTTGAGTGCATATGAAAGAACAAGAGAAAAAGGAAGTTGGAAAGGAGGGAAGAACCCCATCCCCCACTCCCACCTGATTTTAGACTCTGCTCTGTAAAAGCGATTTTTGATATTTATCACTGACCTCAAGGGGAAATAAGAACTAACATTTACTGAGCACAAATCCTATGTGCTAGGAATTGTGCTAGCAGCTTTACATATGACAATGGGAATAGATGTTAGGAATTTACGTATGAGTTTTCTTCACTTACATATTCTGCATCTGAAATCCACCTTGCAGTTAACAAGTTAATTTAAATAGTGATACAAGTACCAGATCTCTGACCAGCGTATTAACTCCCAGGCACTCACAGGGGGATTTCTAAATTTATATGTTGATGAGAACAAGCCCGTGAATATGCCAACCACACTAGCTAGCAAGTGCAAATGTTTTAAACTAGAGAAAAATATAGATTTAGCTAAAAGGTATCACAACCTAGGGAAATTCTCATTTCTGTATTACAATTTACTGTATTTCTTGGTAAAAGTGGCTTTGTGTAATAGCATTATTTTAAAGTCATTTTGAGAGATTATCTAAAACAATAAAAGACAATTAAAATCTATTAAATTATAAATATCAGCTAATGTCTTGCATTCTCTCCAGAAAAGGACAAATTTAGTGAATCCAGGTAATTTTATATGACCGGTACATGTTAAACATGGTAGTGTCAATCTTTGGAAAAAAATCAATTGTAGAAGTGGCTCAAAATCTTAAGTTTCTGAACTGAGGCTGATAGATGATACTAAGAACAACTTATAGCTGAACCCAGCAGGAGTGAACTGAAAGCTTGCACAGAGCTAGGGAGTCACTGAAGGAGGAATCTGATATATTTTTTACAACAATGGAAAGGTGGGAAGCAGGGAACCATATAGGTCCTGAAAGTCTTTTGAGCTACAAGATAAAGAAACAAACAAGTTACTGGAAAAGTTGTCAGTTATTTTTGTCAATGAGAAATCACCTACACTTAGCTCACTTGAAAGAACCTAATAAAAGAAAACACATTGGGGCATCTAAGAAAGCGACGGCTTTGTGACCACCTAGAGGGGTGGGATAGGGAGGGTGGGAGGGAGGGAGACGCAAGAGGGAAGAGATATGGGAACATATGTATATGTATAACTGATTCACTTTGTTATAAAGCAGAAACTAACACACCATTGTAAAGCAATTATACTCCAATAAAGCTGTAAAAAAAAAAAAAAAAGAAAGCAACGGCAAAGACAAAGATGCAGGGAGAAGGGGGAAAGAAAGCCTGTAATAAATAGGCCTGTCTATTTTTAAACAGTTTCTACTCTTTTGCTTCTAAAACAGGATTCTTTACACAGTGCTTTGAAAGCCATTACTCCCCAATCTAGCAGGGAGGAGGGCTCGAGAATCTCCTCAAGATTATGTGCTCAAATCTTCAAATTTTCAATGATCTTTTCTTGAACTTTTTTTTTTGGGTCAAATAAAAATTATCTATGACCTTAGCAGCAATTCAGTAATCTTCAGTTGTAGGACTTGTAAACCTCCCTGGTCTACCTTATCTGTTGCTAGTGAAAACAAAAAATACTGGAAATTCATTTTCAATAAAGCTAGGTTCCAAGCTGATGCCCTGAAAAAGATATTTTTGCCATTAGACAAATGCAATTCAAATAGATTCCCTAACATAAGAGCATGAGACCAACATAAAGCCCTGCAATATTTTAAAAAGCTAAGGTGACCATGAATGCTGTGTCAGTGCAGAACAACATCATCTAGCAGCACTCTCTGTGGCCTGTTACAACGCACTGTCGTCATCTTCCCTGCAGTCTCCCACCAGGAGTGAGTGCTTGTCAGGTTCACTAGTACCAACACTGTTCAGTGATCGTTTATCAGACAGCAGTGAGTTTATGGAGGCTCTGCTGTAATTAACAATCCGGTCCAGCAAACCCAGTTTAGGAGAATTTCTTGAGGTATCATCTATTCCAACATGAACACTTATTTCTGAAGGACTTTTCTGTCCCATCTGGCCTCGGGCATGTAGTTCATAATTCTCATAAGTTGGTTTCCTGTAACTGAAAAGATGCAAAAGTATACTAGTTTGAAATAATCAAACGTGAACTATCCGCTTGTTACATTCAAAAATGAAAAGAGATTAACCTGGTTTGAAATGTATAAAGGTGGTCAAAAGGAGTTGTGTGAGGTCACATGATCAGAAATCCTACTTCTGAGAGCCAGTGTACTAGATTTTACCCCACTCAGTGCTTGTGGTTGCTCTGTATATACTACATAAGGTGATAATTATGTAGTTAACATTTATTATTAAGAACAGTTTGGGCTTATCATTGACCAATACAAGAATAAAACCTAGCAAGACTGACTGTGGGTGAGAAGCGTGAGCGAGCTATCATACTTACAGTTTAAGGAGGAGTGAAGAAAGTACTACTGAAACAGATGAAGCAGCCATTGCAGCAGATCCCATCCAGGGCTGCAAAACCAAACCAATGGGCATAAAAACTCCTAGAAAACAATTTTGGATTAGTTAGACCAAACAGTACTAAACAGATTACCACTGTGTTCCTAATACATATATACAAATAATTTCCTTCTTTGATATTTATTCAGCAATTTATCCTCCTGTTGGTAGAGATTTATGTCGTTGCCAATTTTTCACTAATAGAGTGTTGCTGTGAACATTCTTGTACATGCCGCCCTGTGCATGTGCTTGAGAATTTCCCTAGGGTATATACCTAGAGGTGAAACAGCTAGATTATAACATAGGCACACCTTCAACTTTAGGTAGATATTTCTCAGTTGCTCTCCAAAGTGGCTGTACCAGATCACAAACCCTCCAATAGTGTATGAGAGTTCATATTCTACAAACTCATCCACACTTGGTTTTGACAGACATTTTAAAATTTGTGCATATGATGGGGATGAGACAGACTTACTGTACTTGTAATTTTTATGTGCTTATCTGTATTTTTTCTACTTTTTATACAGTGACCGTATATTACTTGTATAATTTTTTAAAAATAACTTGCTCCATGAATTAATCTCTCTGGACTTTGTTCTTTTACTCTTTGTCTCTCCATCTGTGTGTCCCTGTTGATAAACAGTTTTGTAATTGTTCTCATGTTATCTCATGTCCTTCTTTGGCTCTAAAACCAGAGAGAACAAGAAGAAAGTGATAACTATTTTTCTTATGTTATTACTAATACTAACATCTACCAAGCCCCTAAGTAATGGGGATGATCGGATGCTTATTAAATAATTCTAAACTGCCTTTTCTTGGTCGTATTCCTTTGTTCAATTTCTCTCTCTGTCTTTCTCACATCTGGTTCCCAAACTTTAAAAAAAACTGTTGGCTATTAGAACATTAAGAAAATTCTCTGCATGCTATAATCACAACAATGAAACAAGACAAAAACCAATACAGACTAAAAAAGATCAGAAAGATGTATACTAAAATACCAACAGTAGATGTATTCGGGTAGTGAGATTAAAGCTAAATTTATTCTCTTCAGCAAAAACTAAATGAGTAAGCAAATAAGTACGTACGTGTGTGAGAGTATATGGAGAAAAAGATGAAGCAATGTGGCAAAATATTATTAACTGGTGAATTTCGGTGAAGGGTATTTTGTTTTATTGTATCATTTTTCTCCTTGTTTATGTACATTTGAAAATTTCAAAATACAAAGTTGAAGGTAAAAATAAGGTAAAAATAAAATAAACCTATCAGAAGGCTTATACATTCTAGGCCATAATGAACATGCTGAAAATTTAAATTATTGATTTTAATATTACCTCTCACCATACCAGCAGGCTACATACAAAACTGAGCTCAAAACTAATAATAAGAAGACTAAAACTTCCAATACGGTAGGCCTCTAATGACTTCATGAAAAAAGCAATACAAGTTAACTGTCACATACCAGCAGCTATGGGAATTCCAATCAGATTATAAATTAGAGCAAAGACAAAATTTATCCGAATCCTCTTGACTGTCTTCCTTGATAAATCAATACTTGCCACTACATCCAGAAGATCATTCTGAGAACAGAAATATTTGTGATATTAGCAAGAGACTGTAACTTGACCAGTAACTTGTATTTGATACTGTGTATACCGAAGATGATGTGTACCTTACGGTAATATGTGAATTAACTACAAATCTGAGATATTGCTAAAAATTTGAGGCTGTCTTGGAAGGGGGTTTTCAGGAATTTTTCTCAGGGTTCTGAAAATACTTTTAGGGTTGTATGCTGGTACAGGGACTAAATCCCACTAAAATAACCTCAGCAAGTATTTGTTGAAGATAAGAGTATCATACGTATATTCCCAAATCTAATGCTTCACTTTAGAAGCTTGTCATTCTCATTTGCTTCGCTGAAATGAGAAAGTCTGGAAGTAATTACTAAGACTTCTCATACTTCCATCTTGAACTCTCCCAGTCTCAATGGCTAGGAGCATGGGAATTCGAAGGGCACAATCATTTTGTTCAATATACGACACTATCCCTGACCATGTAGAGCAGTCTCACACTCCTCAAAGGTCAGACCATAGGACTTACCCGTATCAAAACCACATCGGCTGCTTCAATGGCTACATCTGTGCCTGTGCCAATGGCAATTCCAACATTAGCCATCGCCAGAGCTGGGGAGTCATTGATTCCATCTCCTACCATTGCTACCCGGTTCCCCTCCTCTTGGAGTTGCTTCACCTTAGCAACCTTGTGGGAAGGTAGAACTTCAGCAAACACCTTAGTAATGCCAACCTACATGGGCAAAAATAAACTCCATTCATTTCAAGAAATATTACTGAGTACCTGAAATATAACTCGGCAATGATGAGCCATCAGTTTCCACCTACCAAATGTCCAAATTGTAAGAGACTAATAATATCCAGGGATAGTAAGGATATGGGGAAATGAGCTCTCTTATATACTGTTGGTGGGTGTGTAAGTTGGTACTGTCTTTTTGGAGGGTACTTGGCAGCATCTATCAAAGTGTGCATGTCATTTGGTTCAGCAATTCCACCCCTAGCTATATTTTGGACATACCTGTACATGTATAAAAATAAGTATGTCCAAGGATGTATATTACTGCCTTATTTGTAAAACAAAATTTTCAAAACCACATAAATTATTTTTTTTATTAGAGGAATGGTTAAGTACATTGTGACGCATCCGTACTATGGAATTCAATGCAATGATGTAGAAAGAATGAAATAAGTTTATATGTTCAGACATGGACAAAGCTCCAAGGCATATATATTGCTATCTGAAAGAAAGCAAACTGCTGAACAAGTTGTACAAAAATGATCCAATTTATGTTCAAAGTACCAGAACTATACATCTGTATATGAACATATAACCATATGAAAAAGTGTAAGGGGGTAGGGCTGGACAGGGAGGCTTGGGAAAATGGTGACTTAAACGTTCTACTTTACAGCCTTCTGTATTTTTTATACAAGAATGTATTTATATATTATCTTTATTATTTAATAGAAGACGGGAGAAGGTATTGCAAAATAGAAAAGCCTAATATGAGAAAAGTTTTAGAGGGAAGGCAAATGTGGGGGTGAGTAGCAGAAGAATGCTATGGAAGATGGTTCTATCAGTGGTATCCAGGATGGACTAGAGAGGAACGTGCGTGGAGCTACTGCTGTACTTTAGGCATGAGAGGATGAGAGCCTGGCTTAGGCTGGCAGCACCGGTGGAGACTATCAGCAACATTTCAAAGGAAGCATCAACAGAAACTGTGTACAATGTCACTCAAGCATCCCATGAACTAAGCAAATAGCTTTTTACTTATAACAGTTCCAGACAAAACACAAAGTCCTTCCTGCATAGTATGCCAATTTTTCTTTAAGGAACCAGATATGGCTACTCGGGGATAATGAAAATAATAGTTAAATTACTTCTTTAGCAGCTGAAGGCAAGAAAGGAAATGTATGTGAAGAATGAGAAGTTACCACATACTCCCACCCCAACAACTAAGTAAACCCATTACCTGAGAAGCAATAGATCTAGCTGTTTTACTGTTGTCTCCAGTCATCAGAACTACTTCTAAGCCCATAGATTTCAGAATATGGACTGCCAATTCTGCTTCAGGCTTCACTGTATCAGCAATAGCTACCAAGCCGCACAGCTCATCTAATATAGGAGCACCAGAAGATAGAATTTGGAATATGGTGAAAGCAGAATAATATTCTGACTTAAAATTTCAGAAAGAAATGAATTTTGTTAAGTGAAGTTGTTCAGGACTTGGCTTAACTCAAAATATCTCCAAGACCACATAGACTTTATACCACAAACCCTGCAACAAGCCTCCATACTTGGTTGTGAAAATTTCAGAGTGAGGTAGGGCTTACTAATGAAGGTAATGATAGGAAACTGAAGAGACTTTACTGGATACTAAAATACTTATTTTCTTTCTTTAGAGAAGTATTGGCCAATAGCCCCAAACACTTTAGCTAATTTAAAGGCAAATGAAACTGAAAACTCATACTTCACCCTTTTTAAGGTGAAGGGGTGGATGGAAACAAAACTGGCATTTTATACTGGGAAAAAATCACTACAAGTAGCTATTTTAAAAACAAAAATAAATGGTATTTTCTGCTTCTTCCTGGGCCTAAAAAGGCCATAGTAAGATAATGCCTTCATACTTAGCAAGGATTATAAATGTTGACTAATTAATCTCACAGCTAGAAATGTACCCTAAGAAATAATTTAACAAAATACCTAAAACCTCAAAGATGTTTACTGTGGTGTTACTTACAACAATAAAATATTAGGAGTAGCTTAAATTTCCAACAGGGGAATGATTAAGTTAGTCATAGTGTATAAGTATGACAAATGGTGCCACATTAAACTACGATTGGAAATATTTACTATTAAATAAAATAAGACAAAATAAAACAGTATGTGTACAAGGAATTTTAAATTTTTATTCAACTTTGAGGTAAAATTTACATACAATAAAATGCACCCATTTATAAACAGTATATGTACTAATATTGTAATTCTGTGTGATGTGTATGAATATATATCCAGAAATGTCAATTAAAACTGACATTGTGTTTAGATGATGAGATTATGAATATTCTTTTACTTTGCTATAATGTTATTTTTAGGTTTAAAAAAAAATCCTTGATTAGCTTTTTTTAAAACCACAGGCTACGGAGGAAAATAACAAAGCCAGGCAAATGCAAGAGAATTTTAAATTAATCAGTAACAATTATGTATTGCTGACATTTTTACTTTGCATTCAGGCTGCTTTTGAATAACCCTCATAGTTCAGATGTCTCTCAAAAATACACAGAAAACAAGTGAAATCATGACACTGAGTCATAGTGTACTTAAGGAAAACCTTACCATCAACTGCTACCAATACAGCAGTCCGACCTTTTCTCTCATGTTCAGTCATGGAATCGTTTACATCGTTATTAATGACAAGACCATTTCTAATCATCCACTCCCGGTTACCAATAAGAACTTTGTACTGCTGAGCATTAAGAGCATCTGAAGAAAGTACAGAAATGACATTTAGTGAACTTGTTTAATATTTATAACAACCCTTTAGGGACAGTCTTCCTCTCTAATCTTGCACAGTCACTACGTTGGTTTTTTGGTAGAAAACAGCCTACAACAGTGATTTCCAAATGTTCAAGGAACATACTCTGCTCTTCCATGCCTCTGGGCCTTTGCACATGAGGAGTGAGGACCACCTGGAGGTCCTCATCCCCCCTCTTCAAATACCAAACTGCATCACATATATTCTTTAAGAGCCATTTCAAACGTTACTTTCTTGGTGACGCTTTCCATGTGACCCTTCCTTATGATCTTCCATAGCAACTGAATTAAATTAAAAATATTTATTGTGCATCAGTACAACCATCAGTGTTGGACAAGAACACACAACCATACTGATGTCTCATTTTAAACATGTGACCACTAACTTTAAGTGGGCCCTTAGTGATGCCTGGCTATTCTACTACATTTCCCTAGTCCATTCATTCTCCATTCCTTCTAGATGGCTACTTTATACCTTCTCTTCTCCCATTCTCATACCAGATAATGACTCTGCTTCTTACTTCAGGAAGAAAATAAAAGCAATCAGAAGAGAACTTCCACAAGCTCTTATTGCCACATCTATCCAACTGCCTGTGCCTGTGTACATACTGATCTAGCCTCTCTTCTGTTATTATAAATGGCCCCTACTCCTATTTAAGGGCAACTTCTCCACTTGTGTACTAGATCCCCCTCCTTTGCCTATTTTATATTTATTTATTCGGCTGTGCCGGGTCTTAGTTGCAGCACACAGGATCTTTGTTGCAGCACGCAGAATCTTTAGTTGCAGCATGCGGGATCTAGTTCCCTGACCAGGGATCGAGTCCAGGCCCCCTGCATCGGGAGTGCAGAGTCTTAACCACTGGCCCACCAGGGAAGTCCCCCTTTGCCTATTTTAGAACGTCTCTCCAACAATTCTCCCCTCTCTCTCTTGCATAATCATATTTTCTACTTCTGCTGTACATAGTCCTATCTTTAAAAAAGAAAATGAAACAACCCTCTCTTGATCTCATTTACCTCTCTAGCTACTACCCCATTTCTCTGCTTCTGTTCATAGCAAAACTTCTCAAAAGTGTTGTCTCTATCGGCTGCCCTCCAATTCATACCTTCCCATTCTCTTGTGAACCCACTCAAATACAGCTTTTGTCTCTGTTACTCCAAAGAATTGTTCATACAGTACACCAGTGATCTTTAATAAATCTAACGGGTAATTCTTCATCCTCATCTTACTTGCCCTATTAGTAGCATTTTAACACAGTTGATCATTCCCGCCTTGAAATACTTTCTTCATTTGGCTTCTAGATCACCACATTCTTATGAGCTACCTCCTCACTCACCACTTCTTCTGTCTTCTTTGCTGATCCTTCCTCATCTCCCTGACCTCTTAATTTGTAGTGTTGCAGGGCTCAGTCCTTAAACCTCTTCAGGTTTAATCTCATTCCCCCTCTATCTACTCTCACTCCTTGATGATTTTTTTTCTTTTGGCCACACCTCGCGGCTTGTGGTAGCTTAGTTCCTCGACCAGGGATGGAACCCAGGCCCATGGCAGTGAAAGCGCCAAGCCCTAACCACTGGACCACAAGGGAATTCCCAACGCCTTGATGATTTTATCCAGTCTCATGGCTTTAAATACCATCTATATCAGTGCTGTCCAACAGAACTTTCTGTGATGATGGAAATGTTGTACATCTGCTCTGTTTAATACAGTAGCCACTAACAACATGAGGCTATTGAGCACTGAAATGTGACTAGTATGGCTGAAGGGCTGAATTTTAAATTAAATTAAATTTTAATTAATTTAAATTTAAATAGTCACACGTAACTAGTGGCTACCATATTGGCCAGCACAGATCTATAAGTGGATGACTCCCAAGTCTACATCTCCAACCCAGTTTGTTTCCTTGGAACTCCAGACTTGTGCAGCCACCTGCCTCCTTGATAGTTCCATTTATACGACATCTCCACTTGAATACCTAACAGGCACTCAAACTTAACATATCAAAAACTGATCTCTTGATCACTTTTCCTCAATATTGCCCCTCCTGTGACCTTCTCCATCTTGTTTAAATGGTAACTCCATCCTTCTAAATTGCTTAGGCCACAAACTTTGGCCTAATTCCCCATTTCCAATCTGTGAGATCTGTCAGCCAGCTCACATCCAGGGGAATTCCCTGGTGGTCCAGTGGTTAGGACTCCAAGCTTCTGTTGCAGGGAGCACGGGTTCGATTCCTGGTCAGGGACTAAAATCTCACAAGACATGTCACGCAGCCAAAAAAAGAAAAAGATATGTCCAGAATTTGACCACTTCTTAACGGCTTCTACTGTTATTATACTGGTCCAAGCCACCATTATCTTTCACCTGGATTATGGCAATAGCCCACTAACTTATCTCCCTGCTTCTGCCCTTCCCCCTACCCCCTGCAACAGTGTATTTTTCCCAGAGCAGCCCAAATAATACTTTTTAAACATTAAGTCAGATTCTGTCATTCCTATGCTCAAAACTCTCCAACGGCTTTCCATCTCAGGGTAAAAACCAAAGTCCTTTCAATGTCCTTACCTCATCCCTTACGTCCTTCCCATTCATTTACTCTGTTCTGGCCACTTTGTTCCTTAAACTAGTCAAGCACACTCCTGACTCAAGGCTTTTGTACTTAACATTCCTCCTTCCTGGAATGCTCTCATCACAGATATTCACATAACTTTTTCCCTCCCCCTCCTCAGGTTTCTGCTCAAACACCATCTTCTCAATGAGGCCTACCCTGACCAGCCTATATCAACAGGATCTGCTACTCCCAGCATTCCTTATATCTCTTGCCCTTCTTCATTTTCTTCACAGCACTATCTCCATCAGACAGACTATATTTGCTTATTTATTTGCTCACTGTCTTGTGTTCTCCCACCAGGAATGTAAACTCCATGACATAGGGACTTCGTCTATTCTGCTCACTGCTCATTCTTTAGTGTCTTGAACAGTGCTTAATAAAACCTGTCAGGTGAATGAAATTACTGTGTGTCAGTGTGCTTGATACTGTGAGTTCACAGACAGATAAAAAAATCACAGTTTAGTAGAAACAGGCAGGCAAATAAAGAATTCTCATGCAGCGTGCCTAGCACATCTAGAGATTAAGTACAGTTATGACTAAAAAAGAAGAGCAAATATCTCTGCTTATGTATGTCAGTCAGTGAAGGCTTCACTAAAGAGAGATGTGAGCTGAGTCTTCAAAGATGAGAAAATAGCAAATGAGGTGATCTAATGAGCATGAAATGACACGATGTAAGGAGAAACTCTAAGTAGTTCCATATGGACAAAACACAGTGTACGTGGGTGACAGTGGAAAAAGACAAGATGGGTGGTGCAGGCAGGCAGGAGATGTATCATGGGGAACAGATCTTGAACAAAATCCACAGAGACTGGACTCTGTCCTGTCGGAGATGGAGAGCCTGTAAAGCCAGGGTCCTTAACAGATTTCCATGGAGGGGCTTTTGGATACATACAAACGTCCAAAACAGAAGTTTTCTGAGTGGTGGGCATAGCTTTTACCACCTTCCTCCAAAGGTTCATGATTCAAAAATAGGTTATAAACCACTGCAATAAAAGCTATTAGTCAGAAAGTGATATACTCAGGTTTGCATGTTAGAAAAATTACTCAAGCACAGATGGGTAGGGGGGTTCCTGGCACACTTAGGTATGTATAGCATGTTTTTGGTCAGATGGATAGACCAACAGGAAACTCGGGAAACTGGCCTTGGCTGCAGATATGGATTTTAGAGGAGCAGTGGAAACCTACAGGTGGTAGAATAAGTGATAAGCATGAACAAGAGTGTACAGAGAGGACTTCCCTGGTGGCGCAGTGGTTGGGAATCTGCCTGCCAATGCAGGGGACATGGGTTCGAGCCGTGGTCCGGGAAGATCCCACAGGCCATGGAGCAACTAAGCCCGTGCGCCATAACTACTGAGCCTGCCCTCTGGAGCCCGCGAGCCACAACTACTGAAGCTCACATGCCTAGAGCCCGTGCTCTGCAGCAAAGAGAAGCCACCGCAATGAGAAGCCTGTGTACCACAACAAAGAGTAGCCCCCTGTTGCTGCAACTAGAGAAAGCCAGTGCACAGCAACGAAGACCCAACACAGCCAAAAAATAAATAAATTTTTTTAAAAAAAGACTGTACAGAGAGAGTATGTAAAATGAACAAAAGACAAAGAACAAAACTCTGAGGACACCCAACATGTGAGAGCCAGGAGAAAAGAGGAATCAGAAGAGGATTAGAAAGAACAGCCAGGTAGGTGAGAGGAGAATCTAGAGAAAGCAGGGTCACGGAATCAAGGGAGAAAAACATTTTAGGAAAGAAGAAATGGTCAACATTGTCAAATGCCTTAGCGAGGTCATACAGCAATGAAGACTGAAAAGTGACCACTGGAGGGCTTCCCTGGTGGCGCAGTGGTTGAGAGTCCACCTGCCGATGCAGGGGACACGGGTTCATGCCCCAGTCCGGGAAGATCCCACATGCCGCGGAGCAGCTAGGCTCATGAGCCACCGTTGAGACTGCGCGTCCGGAGCCTGTGCTCCGCAACAGGAGAGGCCAGAACAGTGAAAGGCCCACTTATCGCAAAAAAAAAAAAAAAAAAAAAAAAGACCACTGGAGAGGGGACTAAATGAGATCACCAGTGGACTTAAAACAGTTTCACTAGTATGGATGGGGCAGAAGCCAAACTGTGCAGTGAAGAAGTGAATTCAGCCAGCCTAGACTACTCTTTCTAGAAGCCTGGATATTAAGGAAAAGAAAGGTAGGATAAAATCTAGATGGGAATACAGTGATTTTGATGGAAGAAATGTTTATATGTTTAGGAGAAGGAGCTACGACAGTGTGTTGGAAAAAAAAGAAACAAGGGGACATAACAGAGCATGAGGTTCCTGAGGAATCAAGAGAGGGTGGGATCTAGGGCAAAGATGAGGGGATTCATTAGGCAAGATGAGGGATACTTCTTTCCCTGAAAAAGGAAACATTCTGAGCAAAAAATCCTGAAAGAACACATGTCTGAGAACCTTAAATTTCTGTGTGAAAAATAAGCAGGACAATTTACTTAGGGAACTAGGGGGAAGGCCACAGGAGCTTGTGAAGGATACAAAAGGTTTGGAGCAGCTGTGGTGAGAAATAAAAGAAAGAAAGCTGAACTAAAAGATGGAAGATCAGCTAAGGCTAGACTTTATCACCCTCTACTGTAATCAAGGAGCACAGCTGAAAAATGTTCTTGAGTAACTGAGTAAAATAATTAGAAGGCCTACAGTGAAACTGATTTACGAAAATGAAACCATGACACCAATCTTGTTTCTTATATAACAGTTCAGATTATAAAGTTAGACATCTGTTAATAACTGTCCCATAATTGGTACTACAAAGAAAATTAGCTTACTTGAGAGCTGGGCATCAATAATCATGGAAGATGAAGTTGATGACTGTTCATTACTTGTATCTATTTGAACCAGGGATGCATTTTTAATATTATTTTCCTCTATCTTCCAGTTATCCTTGTGTAGCAAGCCTTCGATATTGGTGACTTTACAGCTAATACCACAGCCTGGCACAACCTGGAAATCTATGCAGGTACCCAAGGTTTCAGTGTCCAGCTCCTAACGGATAGAAACAGAAGGATTTCCTCTGCTGTTCTAATAATCCAAGGTCCTCATTAGCAAGATCAAAGATTACTGCTGGTTAATTCTAAATGTTTAGACACAATCTACATGCCTGGTTAATTCTGAATGTTTAGAATAAAACTATCACTTATCATTGCCTATTTGACAGTGGGTTTTTGATAAGGACGAAGGAACAGAGCATTGCGTATAATGTTCAAAGTTAGAGGAGAACCTCACAATACTTATTTTAAACCCCACTTTATAAGATTTATACCAACTTTAAGGAAAGAAAATGTGGAAGGTTTATCAATTTTCTCTGTCCTTTCCAGTAGAGAATTACAAGTTACATATTTAATTCTATTTTCAAGTCAGATTTTCTATTCGGTACAGGGAAAAGGGTAACAAAGAACAGGGCCTTCAGTTACCAGAGGGGCTCTCTAGTATGATTCTGTGTCCTTAGTGAGCCAAAGAATTCTGGTGACCATCACTGTTTCCTGTCTCTTTATATCTTCATCCTTTCTGTTATTTGATTTGGGTGTAAAGAAGCCAGGTCAGTAATAGTTAATAGGTAAAAAGGAAAGAACAAATAAAGAAATGGCAACACCAATGGTGAAACTGCCATGTTCTAACTGAAAAACTATGTGAGATAATTTACAAAGAACTTATACAAATCAATGAGAAAAAGGTAAACAATCTTATGAAAAAATAGGCAAAGGATACAAGCAAACAGGGTATAGAAAAAGAAATTCAAATGGCCAATACACATGTGAAAAGATGCTCAACCTTATTCATAATTAAAAAATGCAAAGTAAACCATCAATGAATAAATATTTTTTACTTATTGAATTGGAAAAAATAAACTGTTGGTGAGAATGTGGGGAAATGGGCATTCAACTTCTCGTGAAAATATAAACTGGTACACCTTTTTGTGTGGGTGTTGATAATATTTGTCATTTGAGCATTGGTAATATTCATGGGAATTTAACAGCATGTATCCTTTGATCTAGCAGTTGCATTGATAGGCATTGAACATTAGAGATAAATGTGCAAAAGCTGACAAGGATGTTAACTGTACATGGTAAGGGCCAAAAAACCAATCATACAATAGAATACAATATAGTCATTAAAAACAATGAGGCAGATCTATATGTCCTGATATGGAAAAATCATTTAATAAAGTCTTTTTAAAAGGTACCAAAGATTGGTCATTGTATCACCTTTCTATGTAAAGTTTAAAAAATAATAAATGCTGGTATATGAACTAAAAATGGTTAACAGATGCACACTTTTGTGAATATACTAAAAATTATTGAATTGTAACTTTACAAGGGTGAACTTTATGGTATGTGAATTTTACCTCAATAAAGCTGTTATTTAAAAAGACTGTTAACAGGTTAATACTTGTTAAACTTTGGAGAGAGGAATTATGGAAGGGGGCAGGGAATGAGGTTTTCCTTTTTCGTTATGTAATGCTGAACTATCTGAATTTTGCTACCATAAATATGTATTACTTCTATATTAAGTTTTTAGTTGACTGGGGTTATCTGTGTGGTAGGGTTATAGTTAATTTTTGTTTTTATCTTTATACTTTCCTGCATGAAGAAATTAAGACATACAAAATAAAATGAGAAAACATGAGTCTCTCTAGCTTCATACCAACTATATATATGTAAATCATGAATAAACAAGGGAAAAATTGTACCTGCTTGCAGTATTTGGTTATTGCTGCTCCTAGAGGGTGTTCACTGTTACTTTCAGCAGTTCCCACAATGGCCAGGATCTTATTGCATGACATTCTGTTACTTTCCACTAGAACCTTTACTTGATTCACTACTGGGGTTCCATGGGTTATGGTTCCAGTTTTATCAAATACCACTACCTTTACCTGTAAGAAAATCAAAACACAATGCACCTATATGGCTTGATAATTCTTAGTATCAGCTTTCCAGAAATGAGAAAAAGGTTTACTTTGACAAACACATTACTATCTTGTTTCATAATAAGCTGACCTCTGATTTAATTGGACTAAATAAACTGTCTTTGGGAGAATAAAAAGAAGGGAGAAAAAGGGAAGAAATATCCTTAGTTACACCTAATAGCCCTCCCTTGCAAATGTTCAACGTACTGTGGACATATGTTAAATAACTAGAACTACTTGTTAAGAGTTGACTGTTAATAGGTAATTAAGAGATGCCTCTAGTGCTTCTAGGGAAAGAGAAAGGCTTTCAGTACTAATGAATAGATCTGTAGGGGAAATCTGGGCAGTAGGCAAATGATTATAAGTAAGTAATTAAGTTGAAGTGTGCACCAGATAAGACCTTCTGGGTTGCTTTGACTTTATTGGGTCTAGATGAGAAGCCTGCCCTGAGAAGAGACAGCTCAGGGAACCAACGAGGGAAACTCAGACCAGGTAGGAAAAAGGAAGAGTCTGGAACTAAAGAACCGTCACCTCACAGTAAACTCGGATAATGAAACTTGAGAAATGAATAGCTTGAGGAACTGAGATGAAAAGAGATATGACAATTAAGTACAAAGCATGATTCTGGATGAAATTAAAAACAGCTATAAAGGATTATGGAGTCAGCTGAGGAAACTGGAATATGGACAACAGATTAAACAAGAGTATTATATCAATATCAACTTCTTGATTTTGATCTTTGTACTGTGGTTATGTAAGAGATTGCCCTTGTTCTTAGGAAAGGGGCTTCATATCTGCAGTAAAGGGTATATGGGAGTTCTTTATACTATTCTTTCAACTTTTATTTAAGTTTGAAATCATATCAAAATTTAAAATTACTATAAAAATTAGTAGCCTGTATTCACTGGCTAGATGAGGTTCCAAATCTGTTCTAAGTTGTGTTCTGTGTTTACTACATGCATCTCTTTATAGTTTATATCCTCATAATAAGAACATACTAGAAGGAACATGGTTTTAGTTTAAGTCAAATAGCCTTGATTGAGATTGTGATGGAAATTCTAATAGGAGAGAGATCAGGGACAGGATTATATTCCTCAAGTCATAGTTGCAAACTGTCAGCTGGTGGCAGCAAAGGCAGAGGAACAGCAAGCCCTATCTAACGGCGAACAGCACAAACATGGAGCCACACACAAACGGGTTAGAAGCCTGACAGACTTGGGCAAATTGCCTGAGCAAATATCTATGGTGTCTTCCTGCCCTAAAGACCAGTCTAATCTGAGCTGGGATAGGACTCCAGGTTTTCCACACCAGGGTCTACTCTAAAGAGAGTAGGTCTGGAGTAGTTTTAGAAGTCTCATATAACTAAGTCCAATCCAGAGCAGAACCAAACTGACACCTTTCCTACCTCAACCCTCACGACAGTGCCAGAAGAGGCTCAGCTTATGGGCTATGTAGAAATAATTTAAGACTCTATTTTTCAATACGGGTGCTATTGCCAGTTTGAATGAGACAACTCTTAGTTCTGGGGAGTATCTTACCTTATGAGCCATCTCCAATGGCTCACCACCTTTGATTAGTATGCCACTTTGAGCGCCTACTCCTGTACCCACCATCACGGCAGTTGGAGTGGCCAATCCCAGTGAACAGGGGCATGCAATGCACAGAACTGTGATTGAGGCTTGGAAAGCAAAGCGTATTATTGTTTCTGTTCGGGAGATACTTCTGTTGTAGCCCTTGAGAAGAAATGCATGAATTTTGATTACTGATTCAGAGCTGGATAAAACAAAAGGAACAAAGCTTAACTCTATTTAAATAAAACCAAAATTTTGGAGTCACACATAATCCTGCTTAGCTACCAACATATGTTTTAGCTATTAGTAAGAAAACACTTTTTTTCTTTTATGAATATAAGATATTGTTGACATAACTGGTAAACAAGTTACAGTCCTAAAATCAAGATTTCAATTTTGCTGATTCCAGAGTTGCAAACTATGGAGTGAATATAAGGAACATAATAAAAGTCAACTCCCCCCCCCATATTGAGAGAATAAGTGTTTTATTAGGGACTTTCAAATATAGCTGCAAACATACGACCCAATTCTCAACATATTTGATCCTGAACAAAAATAATTCTGTACTTCTGTATACTAACACCATAAAGCTGTCTTTCACACTATTCTTTAAAGACAATGAAAAAAATCACCCAGTTTGCAAAGGTTGCTTCACCACATTTCAATAAAATTCTTTTGGACAAAACAACATGAACTGAGTATATCTGGTAGTATAGCTCTTAGTGACATTGAGTATTTGCTTCTGTGGTTAAGTATGATCGATAGTATTAGGAGAAATCTCCTAAGGACTCCCTGAACTCATGAGAAAAATTCCTGAAGGAGACACGTTCCAAAATACTTCCCAGCAATCCTCTTGTTCAATGAGTACTCAACCAATATGAATCATTTAAAGAAACTTTTTAATATTATACTAATGACCATATCATGTAATAGATACATAGATGTTATGATTCTACCTGTTCTTTAATTGAAGGGAAAAACAGCATGAAACAGTGTACAGCATGGCATTTTTAAAAGAAACACAACAAAGACTTTCTTAGTAATAATGGTTTTACAGTGCTATGTTCTTACTAAGTTCTCAAATACTTAAACTAAGTGATCATCTAAGAGTTATATATATAGAGACAGAGTTGGAAGGGATTTTCATAGACATCTAAGCTTATGCTTTCATATATGTCATAAGTGTATGTTTTCACCTACACTAATTCCAACCCTGAAATTTAGGTATTATTATCACTATATTACAGATCACAAAACTGAAGATAAGAGAAATTCAGTGACTTAACGGTTTTATCTCTAACATGAGGTACAGTCCAGCTCTACTTTACCACTTTATGACACCATACGTTAGAGAACATCATAGAACTAGAGAAAAGCAGACACTAATATTATATTTATAAAGCACTTAATAAATTACAAAGTGTGTCTAATATATATCATCTTATCTAACTTTTACAACTGCAAGTTATGTTGGATGAGCATTATTAAAATCTCACTTGAGAGGTGAGGAAACCGAAGCTCAAAGAGAAATCAAGTTGACCTAAGATCACACTGATGGTATGTGGCAGAGCTGAGATCCCAAGATTTTCCTCAATATATCCATTGTCCTTTATGAAAGCAAAATCATGCTGGGACTCAGACTAAGTATACAATGTGAAAGGTCACTATAGGCATACCTCGGAGATATTGTGGGTTCAGTTCTAGACCACCGAAATAAAGTGAGTCACAAGAATTCTTTGGTTTCCCAATGAATGTAAAAGTTATGTTTACACTATACCGTAGTCTACTAAATGTGCAACATCATTATGTCTCAAGAAACATGTACATACCTTAATTAAAAAATAATGCTGTTGGAAAAATGGCGTCGATAGACTTGCTCGACGCAGAGTTGCCACAAACCTTCAATTTGTAAAAAACACAATATCTGCAAAGCACGATAAAGCAAAGTGCAATAAAACGAGGTATGCCTGTACTTGCTTTTGGAAAATCACAAGTCATAATGAAAAAAACCTTTTATGTTTTCTTTTATATTTACAGAAATGCAAATGTTATTCTTATCACCCTCTCACTCCAGTCTGTTAAAGATACCAGTAATTATTAGTTATTTTCCAATTACTTACTTATGCAAAAGATTCACACAGTTTTACATATGAAAAAAGGTGTTATAAGTCACTCACAGGAAAGTAGGTTTCCACGATTTCAAAATTCAGAAATCCAATTATAATCCAAACCAAAAGGGTAGCAATGGAAACAATGACAATAAAAGGAACAAAGTAGCCACTGAGTTTGTCTGCAAACTGCTGGATAGGAGCCTAGAATTAAAAAAAAAAATAATGATATGTATATCAAAGTCTCCTTTTTTGATAATGAATACAGAGCATATTTGGTATTGAGCACAAATATTTTAATAAACTCCATATTAATACAGCTAGAATTAATCAAAGGAACACATAAAAACTAGATCAAGATTTATACTGAGTGGGCTTTCATGAAAATACTTTGTTTCTCCTAGGGAGTTAATTTACCTTTGATGTTTGTGCCTCCTCTACAAGTCTGACAATTTGAGAAAGGGTTGTGTCTGCTCCAACATGGGTTGCACGGATAAGGAGTGACCCATTCTGGTTAATGGAACCAGCAATCACTGTGCTGCCAGACTTCTTAGCCACAGGCATTGCCTCCCCTATATAAGGAGTAAAGATACATTTAGGGAGCATAAATAAATACTATCTTGAAATATACAGTTATTTGTCAATTGTCAATATCTAGAAAGGAGATTCTTATTTCCTGAAATAGAATCTGGACAAATGCCTAGGTGAAGGTTGCCCTCTCTTTTTCTTTATGTCAGTTCTGGGCCAAACCCAGGGATATATAATTTAAACTGGAAAAACCTACTGTGTTAACTCTTATTGGCAGGTACTTTTGGACTTCCACCCTAGTCTTAGATCATTGCTTCTCAACCTATTCCCAAGGAGCCTTTATAAATGTAGGAGAGAGTTCTTGCCTGTAATAACTACAGGTGGAGCATGGGGTACTGCTACTCCAATTTAGTAGGTCAGGGTCACGGATATTAAATGTACCATGTGTAGGATAGTCAGTCAGAACTAAGAACTGTCCCATCCAAACTAGCAATAGCACCCCTACTGAGAAACACAGAATCCTAAATTATTTCCACACAATTCATAAACTGAGCCACTATCGTAAGGACTGAGGTAGGAAAGGTGTTATTTTGGTTCTGCTCTGTATTGGCCTTAGTTATCTAAGATCTCTAAAATTACTCCAGGCTTATTCTCTTTAGAGCTGACCCTGATGTGGAAAACCTGGAGTCCTATCCCAGCTCAGACTAGACCAGTCTTTAGGGCAGGAAGACCCAATAGGCATTTGCTCAGGAAACTTTGCCAAAGTCTACTGGGCTCTACAGCAGAATGTGACAACTTCCTCTGGTTATACATTCTAGTAATTAACAATCCTCAGTGAAAAGAGCCTTCAGTAGCATAAATAAAACCACAAAGAAAATCTGCAGAAACTGATTTAATACATTCTTAAAAAAACTCATATTCTCTTCGCTCATTATTTACTCGGTCCATAGTTTCTACAAAAAGTTCTTCACCTTTCATGTCTATTTTTTTAAACATCTTTATTGGAGTATAATTGCTTTACAGTGTTGTGTTAGTTTCTGCTGTATAACAAAATGAATCAGCTATAAGCATATATATATCCCCATATTCCCTCCCTCTTGCATCTCCCTCCCGCCCTCCTTATCCCACATCTCTAGGTGTTCACAAAGCACTGAGTTGATCTCCCTGTGCCATGCAGCTGCTTCACACTAGCTATCTATCTTACATTTGGTAGTGTATATATGTCAATGCTATTCTCTCACTTCGTCCCAGCCTACCCTTCCCCTTCCCCGTGTCCTCATGTCCATTCTCTATGTCTGTGTCTTTCTTCCTGTCCTGCCCCTAGGTTCATCAGAAGCTTTTGGGTTTTTTTTAGATTCCATATATATGTGTTAGCATATGTATTTGTTTTGCATTTTCTGACTTACTTCACTCTGTATGACAGACTCTAGGTCCATCCACCTCACTACAAATAACTCAATTTTGTTTCTTTTTATGGCTGAGTAATATTCCATTGTATATATGTGCCACATCTTCTTTACCCATTCATCCATCGATGGACACTTAGGTTGCTTCCATGTCCTGGCTATTGTAAATAGTGCTGCAATGAACATTATGGTACATGACTTTTTGAATTATGGTTTTCTGAGGTATATGCCCAGTAGTGGGATTGCTGGGTCATATGGTAGTTCTCTTTTTAGTTTTTTAAGGAACCTCCATACTGTTCTCCATAGTAGCTGTATCAATTTACATTCCCACCAACAGTGCAAGAGGGTTCCCTTTCCTCCACACCCTCTCCAGCATTTATTGTTTGCAGATTTTTTGATGATGGCCATTCTGACCGGTATGAGGTGATACCTCATTGTAGTTTTTTTTTCTTTTTAACATCTTTATTGGAGTATAACTGCTTTACAATGGTGTGTTAGTTTCTGCTTTATAACAAAGTGAATCAGTTATACATATACATATGTTCCCATATCTCTTCCCTCTTGCATCTCCCTCCCTCCCACCCTCTCTATCCCACCCCTCTAGGTGCCACAAACCACCAAGCTGATCTCCCTGTGCTATGCGGCTGCTTCCCACTAGCTATCTATTTTACGTTTGATAGTGTATATATGTCCATGCCACTCTCTCACTTTCTCACAGCTTACCCTTCCCCCTCCCCATATCCTCAAGTCCATTCTCTAGTAGGTCTGTGTCTTTATTCCTGTCTTACCCCTAGGTTCTTCATGACCTTTTATTTTTTTTCTTACATTTCAAATATATGTATTAGCATACAGTATTTGTTTTTCTCTTTCTGACTTACTTCACTCTGTATGACAGACTCTAGGTCCATCCACCTCACTACAAATATCTCAATTTCGTTTCTTTTTATGGCTGAGTAATATTCCATTGTATATATGTGCCACATCTTCTTTATCCATTCATCTGATGATGGACACTTAGGTTGCTTCCATGTCCTGGCTATTGTAAATAGAGCTGCAATGAACATATTGGTACATGACTCTTTATGAATTATAGTTTTCTCAGGGTATATGCCCAGTAGTGGGATTTCTGGGTCGTATGATACTTGTATTTGTAGTTTTTAAAGAAACCTCCATACTGTTCTCCATAGTGGCTGTATCAATTTACATTCCCACCAACAGTGCAAGAGTGTTCCCTTTTCTCCACACCCTCTCCAGCATTTATTGTTTCTAGATTTTTTGATGATGGCCATTCTGACCGGTGTGAGATGATATCTCATTTTAGTTTTGATCAGCAATTCTCTAAATATTAGTGATGTTGAGCATCCTTTCATGTGTTTGTTGGCAATCTGTATATCTTCTTTAGAGAAATGTCTATTTAGGTCTTCTGCCCATTTTTGGATTGGGTTCTTTGTTTTTTTGATATTGAGCTGCTTGTATATTTTGGAGATTAATCCTTTGTCGGTTGCTTCGTTGCAAATATTTTTTCCATTCCGAGGGTTGTCTTTTCGTCTTGTTTATGGTTTCTGTTGCTGTGCAAAAGCTTTTAAGTTTCATTAGGTCCCATTTTTAATTTTTGTTTTTAATTCCATTTCTCTAGGAGGTGGGTCAAAAAGGATATTGATGTGACTTATGTGACAGAGTGTTCTGCCTCTGTTTTCCTCTAAGAGTTTAATAGTGTCTGGCCTTACATTTAGGTCTTTAATCCATTTTCAGTTTATATTTTGTGTATGGTGTTAGGGAATGTTGTAATTTCATTCTTTTACATGTAGCTGTCCAGTTTTCTCAGCACCACTTATTGAAGAGGCTGTCCTTTCTCCATTGTATATTCTTGCATCCTTTATCAAAGATAAGGTGACCATAGGTGTGTGGGTTTATATCTGGGATTTCTATCCTGTTCCATTGATCTATCTTTCTGTTTTTGTGCCAGTACCATACTGCCTTGATTCCTGTAGCTTTGTAACATAGTCTGAAGTCCGGGAGCCTGATTCCTCCAGCTCCGTTTTTCTTTCTCGAGATTGTTTTGGCTATTCAGGGTCTTTTGTGTTTCTATACAAATTGGGCAATTTTTTGTTCTAGTTCTGTGAAAAATTTCATTGGTAGTTTGATAGGGATTACACTGAATCTGTAGATTGCTTTGGGCAGTATAGTCATTTTCACAATGTTGATTCTTCCTATCCAAGAACATAGTATATCTTTCCATATGTTTGTATCATCTTTAATTTCTTTAATCAGTGTCTCATAGTTTTCTGTATACAGGTCTTTTGTCTCCTTAGGTAGGTTTATTCCTGGTATGTTATTCTCTTTGTTGCAATGGTAAATGGGAGTGTTTCCTTAACTTCTCTTTCAGATTTTTCATCATTAGTGTATAGGAATGCAAGAGATTTCTGGGCATTAATTTTGTATCATGCAACTCTACCAAATTCATTGATTAGCTCTAGTAGTTTTCTGGTAGCATCTTTAGGGTTCTCTACGTAGAGTATCATGTCATCAGCAAACAGGGACAGTTTTACTTCTTCTCCAATTTATATTTCTTTTATTTCTTTTTCTTCTCTGATTGCCATGGCTAAAACTTCCAAAACTTTGTTGAATGATAGTGGTGAGAGTGGACAACTTTTTCTTGTTCCTATCTTAGGGATAATGGTTTCAGTTTTTCATAACTGAGAATGATGTTGGCTGTGGGTTTGTCATATATGGCCTTTATTATGTTGAGGTAGGTTCCCTATATGCCTACATTCTGGAGAGTTTCTATCATAAACGGGTGTTGAATCTTGTCAAAAGTTTTTTCTGCATCTATTGAAATGATCATATGGTTTTTCTCCTTCAGTTTGTTAATATGGTGTATCACAATGATTGATATGTGTATATTGAAGAATCCGTGCATTCCTGGGATAAACCCCACTTGATCATGGTGTATGATCCTTTTAATGTGCAGTTGGATTCTGTTTGGTAGTATTTTGTTGAGGATTTTTGCATCTATGTTCATCAGAGATATCGGGCTGTAGTTTCTTTTGTGACATCTTTGTCTGGTTTTGCTATCAGGGTGACAGTGGCCTCATAGGATGAGTTTGGGAGTCTTCCTCCCTCTGTTGTATTTTGGAAGAGTTTGAGAAGGATAGGTGTTAGCTCTTCCCTAAATGCTTGATAGAATTCACCTGTGAAGCCACCTGGCCCTGGGCTTTTGCTTGTTGGAAGATTTTTTATCATAGTTTCAATTTCAGTGCTTCTGATGGGTCTGTTTATATTTTCTGCTTCTTCCTGGTTCAATGTCAGAAGGTTGTGCTTTTCTAAGAATGTGTCCATTTCTTCCAGGTTGCCCATTTTATTGGCATAGACTTGCTTGTGGTAATCTCTCATGATCCACTGTATTTTTGCAGTATCAGTTTTTACTTCTCCTTTTTCATTTCTAATTCTGTTGATTTGAGTCTTCTCCCTTTTTTTCTTGACTCTGGCTAATGATTTATCAATTTTGTTTATCTTCTCAAAGAACCAGCTTTTAGTTTTACTGATCTTTGCTACTGTTTCCTTCATTTCTTTTTCATTTATTTCTGATCTGATATTTAAGATTTATTTCCTTCTACTAACTTACAGGGTTTTTTTGTTCTTCTTTCTCTAATTGCTTTAGATGGAAGGTTAGTTTGTTTATTTGAGATTTTTCTTTTTTTTGAGGTAGGACTGTATTGCTATAAACTTCCCTCTTAGAACTGCTTTTGCTGCATCCCATAGATTTTGGGTTGTTGTGTTTTCATTGTCATTTGTTTCCAGGTATTTTTTGATTTCCTCTTTGATTTCTTCAGTGATCTCTTCGTTATTTACTAGTGTATTGTTTAGCCTCCATGTGTTTGTATTTTTTACATTTTTTTCCCTGTAATTGATATCTAGTCTCACAGCACTGTGGTCAGAAAAGGTACTTGATACGATTTCAATTTTCTTCAATTTACCAAGGCTTGATTTGTGACCCAAGATATGATCTATCCTGGAGAATGTTCCATGAGCACTTGAGAAGAAAGTGAATTCTGTTGTTTTTGGATGGAATGTCCTATAAATATCAATTAAGTCCATCTTGTTTAATGTATCATTTAAAGCTTGTGTTTCCTTATTTATTTTCATTTTGGATGATGTGTCCATTGGTGAAAGTGGGGTGTTGAAGTCCCCTACTATGATTGTGTTACTGTCGATTTCCCCTTTTATGGCTGTTAGCATTTGCCTTATGCATTGAGGTGCTCCTATGTTGGGTGCATAAATATTTACAATTGTTATATATTCTTCTTGGATTGATTCCTTGATCATTATGTAGTGTCCTTCTTTGTCTCTTGTAATAGTCTTTATTTTAAAGTCTATTTTGTCTGATAGGAGAATTGCTACTCCAGCTTTCTTTTGATTTCCATTTGCATGGAATATCTTTTTCCATCCCCTCACTTTCAGTCTGTATGTGTCACTAGGTCTGAAGTGGGTCTCTTGTAGACAGCATATATATGGGTCCTGTTTTTGTATCCATTCAGCCAGTCTATGTCTTTTGGTTGGTGCATTTAATCCATTTACATTTAAGGTAATTACTGATATGTATGTTCCTATTCCCATTTCTTAATTGTTTTGGGTTTGTTTTTGTAGGTCTTTTCCTTCTCTTTTTTTGCCTGCCTAGAGAAGTTCCTTTAGCATTTGTTGTAAAGCTGGTTTGGTGGTGCTGAATTCTCTGTACTTTTGCTTATGTGTAAAGGTTTTAATTAATCCATCAAAACTGAATGAGGGGGCTTCCCTGGTGGCACAGTGGTTTGAGAGTCCGCCTGCCGATGCAGGGGACACGCTTCGTGCCCTGGTCCGGGAAGGTCCCACATGCCGTGGAGCGGCTGGGCCCGTGAGCCATGGTCGCTGAGTCTGTGTGTCCGGAGCCTGTGCTCCACAAGAGGAGAGGCCACAACAGTGAGACGCCCGTGTACCACAAAAACAAAAGAAAAAAAAATGAATGAGATCTTTGCTGGGTAGAGTAATCTCGGTTGTAGTATTTTCCCTTTCATCACTTTGAATATGTCCTGCCACTCCCTTGTGGCTTGCAGAGTTTCTGCCAAAAAATCAGCTGTAAACCTTATGGAGATTCCCTCATATGTTATTTGTTGCTTTTTCCTTGCTGCTTTTAACATTTTTCTTTGTATTTAATTTTTGATAGTTATTTAATGTGTCTCAGCATGTTTCTCTTTGTGTTTATCCTGCATGGTACTCTCTGTGCTTCCTGGACTTGATTGACTATTTCCTTTCCCATGTTAGGGAAGTTTTCGACTATAATCTCTTCAAATATTTTCTCAGATCCTTTCTTTATCTCTTCTTCTTCAGGGACCCCTGTAATCCAAATGTTAGTGCATTTAATGTTGTCCCCAAAGTCTCTGAGACTGCCCTCAATTCTTTTTATTCTGTTTTCTTCATTCTGCTCCCTGTCAGTTATTTCCACCATTTTATCTTCCAGGTCACTTATCCGTTCTGCTGCCTCAGTTATTCTGTTACTGATTCCTTCTAGAGTATTTTTAATTTCAGTAACTGTGTTGTTCATCACTGTTTGTTTCCTCTTTAGCTCTTCTTGATCCTTGTTAAATGTTTCTTGTATTTTCTTCATTCTGTTTCCAAGATTTTGGATCATCTTTACTATCATTTGTCTGAATTCTTTTCCAGGTAGGTTGCCTATTTCATCTTCATTTATTTGGTCTTGTAGTTTTTTACTTTGCTCCTTCATCTGTAACATATTTTTTTGTCATTTCATTTTTTTTTCTTTGATGGGTGGTGGTGTATTCCTGTCTTACTGGTAGTTTGGCCTGAGACATCCAGCACTGGAGTTTGCAGGCAGTTGGATAGAGCTGGGTCTTGGTGCTGATATGAGGACCTCCGGGAGGCCTCACTCCAATTGATATTCCCTGGGGTCTGAGGTTGTCTGTTAGTCCAGTGGCTTGGACTCTGAGCTCCCACCACAGGAGCTCAGGCCAAACCTCCAGCCTCAGAACCAAGATCCCGCAAGCTTTGTGGTGTGGTAAAGAAAGAAAAAAAAGGTAGAAAGAAAGAAAAAAAGGAGCAGTACAATATCAACGAATAAAAAATAAAATAAAATTAGAAAGATAAAAATTGTATTAGGAAAAATAAAATTATAATTGAAACAACTGCAACAAGGTAAAATAAAACCACAATAGAAAAGAGAAAAAAAAAACAAGGTGGGGGGCAGGGAAGAAGCCAAAAGGAGAGATTGCTAACAAAGTATAAAGAATAAAATAAAATTACAAAAATAAAAGAAAAAAATAAAAAAGACTTGGCTATGGGGGTGGAGTTAAGGGGGGTGGAACTTAGGCAGGTGCAGGGTTTAGGGTGCGGCAGGACCTAGGCGGGTGGGGAAGTGACATTTGAGCATGAGGTGGGGCCTAGACGGGGAGACATTCAAGCATGGGGAGGGGCCTCTGCTTAGGACCTGCGCTAAAGGGGACAGGCAGCACGTGGAAATGAGGGTCTCTGGAGTGTGGAGTTCCCGAGTTTGGAGGTAGGGCCCTGGGTGAGGGTGTGTGGGTGGGGTTTAGGCCCAGCTCATTGGAGGGGGTCTCCGAGTGTAGAGTTAGGGCCCTGGGTGGGGGTGGGGGGCAGGGCTTGGGCTCTGTGTGGCAGGAGGGAGGCTCCAAGGGCAGAGGATTAGGCCTGGGAGCCCAACAGGTGCCCCGGTGCCTAAGTGGACAGGGAAAGCACTGGCCCCTTCCCTTCCGTTCCTTCTTGCCCCTCCCCCACTGCCTCCCCCAGGGTCTCCCCTGTTCCTGATGGACTCCTAACGTGGGTGGGTCCCACTGGGTGTAGGAACGCCTCCCCTCCCCCAGCCACCCCTCAGGGGTGCCAGTCCCAGAGGTCCGGACTTTACTTTTGCTCCCCCTTCCCTCCCACTCCCTCAGGACCTGCACGGCTGGAGGGGGCCTAGGTGGGCAGAGAATCAGGCCCGGGATCTCAGGAGGTTCCAGGGCCCAAGTGAGCAGGGGAAGCCTGGCCATGCTCCCTTTTGATCCTCTGTCCTCCCAGTGGTTCCCTAATTTCCTCCTTCGGGTGTGGGATCCCTGCCCCTCAGGGGCGCCAGTCCCATCCCACCTCCACTTCTCCTCCCCCTTCACTCCCCCCATGCCCCATGTCCTACACGGTGGCTGGGGGTTCCTCCCATCCCGTTAGGTGTCTGTGGTTCCCCACTGGTGCCTGGTAGGTGCCCTAGTTGTGAGGAGATGCGAATTCTGCATCCTCCTAGTATGCCATCTTTTGGACTTCTTTCATGCCTATTTTTAATTAACACTTTGGATTCACTTCACTTTCATGTCATGATCCTCTGAAAGAACATACCTGTGATGAGGGACTCATCTACCATAGAATGTCCTTCAATAACACGCCCATCCACTGGAAATTTGCCTCCTGGAACCACTTTAATGATGTCTCCACGTTGTACAAGCTCCACATCCACTTGCTCTTCACTGGATATGAGTTAAAATAAAAAGCACCATGACAGTATGCTTCTCCCCCTGATCTTTCCATGCAAGCTTTTTAGTTGACATCAAGCTTGTGGCCCCATAATTGCTACCAATGGAAGTTAAAACCAACATTTAAGTTAGGAACTACAGTGTCAGTCTTTTTCACTGTTGGGGAATAGCTCAGTAGCTAGCACAAAGAAGCACTCTAAATATTTGTTGAATAGTCATTGAACTAATAAATGAAAGCTTTAGAAAGAATGTAATGGGTTTTAGTGAACAAAAGAACTAATTTATTGTATGCATTTGCCTAAATAATTTTATGAGGAAAGGAATGAGAAATACAAAAGAATGAAATCTAATCAAGTCTTTAGCTCTAACTTCCAGTTTACAGGTAATATAGGAGTTATAGAACAAGTTAAATGATTCCAGACAGAAACAGAGACAAATTTGGACTGTGGGATTTTCTAAAGGACTACTGATAGATGTTTCTTTACCAAGTCAAATGTATGGAGAGGGAGGAGCAGGGAGGAACAAGGGAGGGAGAACTGGAGAGAGGAGCTATTCTACATTAAAACAAACATGTCAGGAGAAAGACAAATACTGTATGATGTCACTTATATGTGCAATCTAAAAAATACAACAAACTAGTAAGTACAACAAAAAAGAAGCAGACTCACAGATGTAGAGAAATAACTAGTGGTTACCAGTGGGAAAAGGGAACGGTGAAGAACAATATAGGGTAGAGGATTAAGAGGTACAAACTACTATGTATAAAATAAATAAGTGACAAGGATATATTGTACAACATGGGGAACATGGCCAATATTTTATAATAGCTATAAATGGAGTATAATCTTTAAAAATTGTGAATCACTACATTGTACACTTGTAACTTATATACTATTGTACATGAACTATAACTCAATTAAAAAATCAAAAAAAACCCAAACAGGGGCTTCCCTGGTGGCGCAGTGGTTAAGAATCTGCCTGACAATGCAGGGGACACGGGTTCGATCCCTGGTCTGGGAAGATTGCACATGCTGTGGAGCAACTAGGCCTGTGCGCCACAACTACTGAGCCTGCGAGCCACAACTACCGAGCCCATGCACCACAACTACTGAAGCCTGTGCACCTAGAGCCCGTGCTCTGCAACAAGAGAAGCCACCACCATGAGAAGCCCGTGCACTGTAGCGAAGAGTAGCCCCTGCTCGCTGAAACCAGAGACAGCCGCACACAGCAATGAAGACCCAACACAGCCAAAACAAAACAAAACAAAACAAAAAACTCAAAACTTAAAACAAACAAACATATCAGTCAAATGCAGTGACACATGGACCTTTTCTGAATTCCATTTCAAACAAAGAAACTTAAAACAGTTTGGAGACAACAGGAGAAATGTTAATATGGACTGTGTATTAGATCACATTAAAGAATAATTGTTCATTTTGTTAGATGCAGTATGGGCATTATGATTATATAAGACTATGTCCTTTTTTAGAAATACAACAGGAATATCTGCAGTAAAACCATATAACCATATAACTGGGATTTACTTTAAAATTCTCCTGCAACAACAGAAAGAAAAATAGATTGTATAGATGAAGTAAAGTGTGGCAAAATGTGAATAATTGTTAAATCTGGGAGATAGATTATGTGAGTTCATTATACCTTTCTCTCTACTTCTGTGTATATTTGATATTTTTCCTAAGAAGTTAAAAAGAGAAGGAAGAATAATGAAGGTAAATACCTCAAGACGATATTATCAGAGTCGAGAGTTACAATAGTTGCTTCTGTAGCTTGTAGTGAAATTAGTTTGGCAAGAGCCTCTGATGTTTTGCCCTATAAATTAAAACACATACGTTAACAATGCTAAGGAAGAAAAAGTCTTATGTAAAATAAAGGCATAATCTTTAACATTTACTTAAAAGACACCTTTAGGAATGTTAATTAATTCAAATCAGAAAATGTTTCACTTTGAAAATATGAAGTACACAAAATATAAAATGTATTATTAGGTATAATTTATAAATAAATAATGTAAATTAATAAGAAAAACATCAGAACCCAATAGGTACATGAGCAAAGGACATAAATAGGCAATTCATTTAAGAAGAAATATAATACCTGCTGTGTAGAAAATGTTTACCTCTGCTATTAATGGAAGAAATGCAAACTAAAGCAACTCTATGATACCATTTAATGCCTACTAACTTAGCAAAAATTTAGATAGGAGTCAGTGCTGATGAAGTTGTAGTAAAACTACTTCACTAACATACCCTTGATGGCAAAAATTGTTAAGATTAGTAGCATGAGCCATAGAAAGATTTATGCCCTTTAATCATATCCTTTGTAATTTATCCTAAGATAGTAATTCAGTAGAAATAACTATTAACCATGTTTAATGCAGGATTACCTAAAATTAAACTCTGGAAACAATCTAATTGAGAATAAAATCAGAATGGTTTAGTAAATTATAGCACATTGATTTAAGAGAATATTATTCAGAAACACTGAGTAATTATCTAGACTGCAAAAATGGGGAAAAAACTTTAAAGTGTTAAGGGCACAAAGTGGTATGGATACCATGTTTGCCACACCGTAAAATATAAACGTATGTAGAACAGGATTAGAAAGTGATTTCCGTTATACCATGGGATTGTGGGTGAATTTTTTTCCATCATTATTTTAAATCTGTGGTCGCATCAATTTTTCCATTAATAATGTGATATAAGTAAAATAAGTACTCTTAAATGTCTCTTAAAATAAACAAGGACACACTATATTATCTAAAGTATTAATTCCATAAATTTGGTAAATCTTCTAAAGGAATATTTAACCTAAAATACTGCCAAAACAAAAATACTTCTTTTAGTACATCGTTAACTACATAAATCAATGTATATTTCCAATAATTGGTCTAGAAAATATTATGGTCATTTACCCACCCAAGATTTTAATAAATGTCACCCTTTCTTACTTTACCTTTGCTACATGTTCCAGCCACCGGCCTAGTGCAATAAACACAAATAGCATAGGAGGTGTGTCAAAGAAAGTAACAGGGTTCACTGTGGCTCTCTCATACATTGCAACCAGAAGAATAACTAAAGAATAAGCAAATGCAATGGTAGTTGCCAGCACAATCAGTACGTCCATATTTGCAGTTTTATGTTTCAGTGCTTTGTAGGCCTGAATGTAGAAGTGCCAGCCTCCAAAAAACTGTAATATAGAAACAGTGATTAGTGCTTTTACAAAAAGCTGAAATTCACATATATACCTCAATAACTAAGATATAGTATCAATGTTAATTTCCTTTGGCTTTTATTTAATCCATAAACAACTAAGGAGAGATTATTTTTTTTGGCTGCACCATGCGGCCTGCAGGATCTTAGTTCCCCAACCAGGGATCGAACCTGGGCCATGGGAAATTCCCCTAAGGAGAGTTTTTTTTTTTTTTTTTTTAAGCTGAAACAATAGTGCTTGTATTTTAGCAGATATGTGTGTGTGTGCGTGTGGGGGGGTGGATTCAAATTGCTGTACAAGCCCTTGGCAGCTCTCTGCTATGATCCAATGGATATTCCATAATATAAAGAAAGTCAAGTGGTTCTCGGATTCTTCTTTTTGAAGCCAACAAAAACAAGAACCAGGAAAAGAATTACATTCTTTTGAGAATGATTTTTTATATAAAACTCACCTCCCTCTTTTCAAATTCAACCTATCACAAGCTATTGGATCTGTCCACTGTTTTCGTTAGGAAACATAACCGAAAAGCTTATTGTTCATTAGTATAGAGAAACATACTAAGATGTTTTAAAAATACTTATTGCTTTTTATAAGGATCAGAAAAAGGAATAGATCTATTAGATGGAAGTGTTCCACAGTAAAAGTTTATCTCAAAAGAAGAGTTGAAAAGTCCAAAGAAGACATAGAGATGGCCAAGAAACACATGAAAAGATTTTCAACATCACTAATTATTTGAGAAATGAAAATCAAAACTACAATGAGGTATCACCTCACAGCGGTCAGAATAGCCATCATCAGAAAATCTACAAACAATAAATGCTGGAGTGGCTGTGGAGAAAAGGGAACCCTCTTGCACTGCTGGTGGGAATGTAAATTGATACAGCCTCTACGGAGAACAGTATTGAGGTTCCTCAAGAAACAAAATAGAATTACCATATGACCCAGCAATCCCACTACTGGGCATATACCCAGAGAAAACCATAATTCAAAAAGACACATGCACCCAATGTTCATTGCAGCACTATTTACAATAGCCAGGTCATGGAAGCAACCTAAATGGCCACTGACAGACGAATGGGTAAAGAAGATGTGGTACATATATACAATGGAATATTACTCAGCCATAAAAGAGAATGAAATTGGATTATTTGTAGAGACATGGATGGACCTAGAGACTGTCAAACAGAGTGAAGTAAGTCATAAAAAGAAAAACAAATGTCGTATATTAACGCATATATGTGGAATCTAGAAAAATGGTACAGATGAACCGGTTTGCAAGGCAGAAACGGAGACACAGATGTAGAGAACAAACGTATGGACACCAAGGGGGAAAGTGGGGGCCAGGGGAGGATGATGAATTGGGAGATTGGGATTGACATATATACACTAATATGTATAAAATGGATAACTAATAAGAACCTGCTGTACAAAAAAAAGAAATAAAATTAAATTAAAAAAAAACATACAGAGAGTAATGAACTTAAGTGCCATGGAGAAATAATATAACTATTATGATTATTTTACAGAATAAATTAATAATAAATATATTAAAATAAAATATATTTAATATAATTTATATAAAGAGAATTTTAATTCATTTAATATAAAATATAAATATAAAGAAATAAAATACAACATTTTATCAATTCTTTTCCAACTTAGGTTGTTACAGAATATTGAGCAGACAATGTTATGTGGCAGCCTGAATGGAAGGGGAATCTGGGGGAGAATGGATACATGTATATGTATGGCTGAGTCACTTTGCTGTGCACCTGAAACTATCACAACGTTGTTTATCGGCTACACTCCAATATAAAATAAAAAGTTAAAAAAAAAGAATATTGAGCAGTTCCCTGTGCTATACAGTAGGTCCTTGTTGGCCATTATCCATTTTAAATATAGCAGCATGTACACGTCAATCCCAGACTTCCTACATGCATATGTATAACTGAATCACTTTGTTGTACACCTGAAACTAACACAACATTATTAATCTATTGTACTCCAATATAAAATAAAAAGTTAAAAAAAGACAATAAAAATAAAATAAAGTATAACATTTTATTATTATAATAACTTTAAATATAAAGTTACATACAATAGCAGATATGAATACCAAATTCATAACTGAAGATGAATTGAACTCTTATTCTCTGCTTTGTCATTAAACAGTATCCTTCGGGGTTAAAATGGAATTTATTATTATCTACTTTAACCACTCAGTTTAAGATTATTTTTGTAAAGCATCCAGCATAAAATGATCGTACTTCTGGCCAATATTTGTTGTACGATTGAAAATAGCCTCACCTATCACATTTTGGCTATTTTTCATTATTAACAAATATACTTGCTAACATTTCACTTGCCTGTACAGGTACACACAATAAAAAAGATAGCAAATTCATAATGGACAATCCTGGCAGGATCTGGCGCTCCAGGAACGTAGAAGAATGAATGCTAATCATTTCTTCTTGGCTCATGTTCTGATTATGGTGAAGAGTTGCAAGGTGGTGGTCCATAACCATCATATATATCATCAGCCCCATTACAGGAATACAGAAAAACAGGCTCACAAGAAAGGCCCGTCGCCATCTAATATAGAAGAGAAAAATCATTTGAGTAAATAGGTAATGGTTAAAGATTCTATGCACTATAAGGAAATATAACTTGTGACCAATTCCCACCCAGTGTAAGGATGATATTGAAAAAACTGACATGCTAACAGTTTATTAAATTTGTAAAGAGGAATCAAAATCTGTTTTTCATTGACATTCCAAAAGTACTTACTGTCTTATCTCTCGCTTATGGTCTAGGTGGCTTGCTGACCGGTCCTTCTTGACCAAAGAAGCTTCAAAACCTAAGCTCTAAGGAAATTCATGAGAAAACAATTATTTCACTGAATGTATAAATATTACCTACGGAAATTCTAAGCTGTGGTATTGTCATTAAGAACAACTCAATTCAATTACTAAGTGCAAGTCATTCTGGGGAATATAAAGATGAAGATGTGCTTCCTTCTCTTAATTACCTTTGTTTCTAATCTTTCATCAAAGAAATGAGTATTTTCTCAACTCTATTTGATGTCTATCCTACTGTTCTCAAACTACTGATTTAACTCAAGTGCAGTTGTCCTCAGTAGAGGTTCTTATATCAAGAAGTCAACTAAAGCCTCCAATAAGTAATTTTGGAAAAAAGCAGAATCTGTTACTTGGTCAGGCCGACATAGTGTATGATGACCTAATAAAGAGAGAATTGAGATATATACACTACTATGTATAAAATAGATAACTAATAAGAACCTACTGTATAGCACAGGGAACTCTACTCAATATTCTGTAATGATCTATATGGGAATAGAATCTAAAAAAGAGTGGAGGGCTTCCCTGGTGGCGCAGTGGTTGAGAGTCCGCCTGCCGATGCAGGGGACATGGGTTCGTGCCCTGGTCCGGGAAGATCCCACATGCCACGGAGCGGCTAGGCCCATGAGCCATGGCCACTGAGCCTGCGCATCCGGAGCCTGTGCTCCGCAATGGGAGAGGCCACAACAGTGAGAGGCCCGCGTACCGCAAAAAAAAAAAAAAAAAAGAGAGTGGATATATGTATAACTGATTCACTTTGCTGTACAGCAGAAACTAACACAACATTGTAAAGCAACTATACTCCAATAAAAAGAAGAGAATTCAGCAGTAAAATCATAAATCGTACACTTAGACAAGCATCTACTAGTACTGATGTATATTAATCACTTTATTTTTAATTTTAGCTTTGACATCTATCAAGTCATTGATCCATCCATCCCCTGAAAGTACAGAAAACTGAATAATAGGCCACAAAAGCTAGCACCATACTAAATATATTATTCAAGGGTTTGCATATGCAGTCTTTATTCTTGTTGTACCCGAAAAAAGAACACGAACGAAAATTTTCCGCAATAAAATAAAGTACTGAAAGAAAATTACACCTAAGTAAGACTCATATGAACATAGACAGTAACATACACTATATTTCGAACTGCTAGGGAAAATGCTGCCATCTTACATTTCTTGGCAGTATAACACAGTGAAAAGAGCAAGCATGAGCATTGGAGTCAGAAAGATTAGGCTCAAATCCCAGCCATGACACTTACTACCTATGTGACTTTGAGGAAGTAACATCTCATAACCTGAGTTTCCTCACTTCCAAAATGAAGATGACAGCACTGTTGTGAGAATTAAATCAAGAGTTGAAGCTTTGCAATTTTGGTAACTGGCACATAGTAGATACTCAATAATGCTAGCTTCACAAAGATGTTAATGGTGTTACTATCTACATTAACAGGATCTTACCTGAATGATTAATATGCTTTTTAGATCATTAGAACACCAATGCTAGACCACAGTGAAACTTCTAAAGCACTTTAACATGTATTACCACTTAAGATTTACTGAAGACTGCAGGATGAATTTGTCACAGAGAAAAAGGTTTGGTCTTTTAAATTTCTTACTTTAACTATGATATCATTTGCTTTGACCTAACAAACAATACAGCATCTAGCAAGATGCTTCACTTTCTTAGTGATTAACATGAATTTTACTCATAACAAATTGTACTTTGCTTACATTTTCTAAATATTTTTAAATGATCTGTGGTTCTGCCTTAAGTCTGCTCCTGATTAATAGTGCCAATGTGCCTTTACCTAATTCTTCCTGACGAAGACCAAAAAAAAAAAAAAGAAAGAAAAAGGCAGACACTCTTACATTAAATTTTGAGACAGACGTTGTCTATAGAGGTAAACAAAGGAATCAGATTTTTCTCATCATCTCTATCTGATACAAACCAGAAGTGATTCAAGGTAGTGCTGACTAACTAGATAGGTAAGAACACAGAAATGCAAAGTCTTGGCACTTACTTCAATTGTATGAATAATATCTCTGGGACCAATAATTTCTGGATCATATTTAATATGTGCTTTGTTGGTTGCCAGGGCCACAGAGCAGTAGAAGATCCCTCCATGTTTTGTGAGGGTAGACTCTATTTTATGTACACAGGAGGCACATGTCATTCCTCTCACCTGTTAAAGACAAAGGCTTTGTTATTCAGAAATATACTTTTTTCCTCCATTAAATGTGTGTTGTTACTTTAAACTAAAAGAACTCTTGTAACAAGGGATTAACACACAAGATCCTATCTGCACTATTAATATGTTTTAGATTATGATCATTAGATCACTGTCTTTATATCACATTGAACAAAGATATGGTCCCAGCTGCAACATTAAGGATCTCATTAAGTCTCCGGTCTTCCTGTTATTACTCAGTGATAGAGGATTTGACAACTATCATTGCTTCTTGTATTCAATGTCTTGCTTCCCTCTAGATTTTTTTCACCCTGCTAATGTATATAAGTATGTATGTGTGTATATATATATCCTTTAGTATTACTTCTAGTGAAGGTTAATGGATAACAAAAGTGTTCTACCTTTGTCCAAAAATGTATTTTGCCCTATGTCTTGAGTGAGGTTATACTTTAGTTGGGTATTAAATTCTAAAATGGAGGGGCAGGACTTCTGGAATGACTGTGTGAGAAGCTCAGCAAATCCTTTCCCCAAAGAGCAATGATATAACTGGACAAAAGTTTCAAAAACCAACCACTGAAAGATTATGGGAAGTAACCAAAAAGAGTACACAACAAATTACAAAGTACTTATTCAAGAATATCCACCAAAAGAATATCATTAATAGTGGAGTGAGGATTTCTGAAAATTCTCTCCTCCACAAAAGCAATTAGAAAACTGGCAAAAGTTGGAACCACCTTTTTCAGAAAAGTTGGAAAAAAGGGAACCCTTGTATACTGTTGGTGGGAATGTAAATTGCTGCAGCCACTATAGAAAATGGTATGGGTGTTCCTCAAAAAACTGAAAATAGAACTACCATATGACCCAGCAATTCCACTCCTGTGTATATATCCAAAGAAAGCAAAAACACTAATTAAAACGATACATGTACCTTAATGCTCATAGCAGCATTATTTATAATAGCCAAGATATGGAAGCAACCTAAGTTCCATCAATAGATGAATGGATAAAGTAGATGTGATACACACACACACACACACACACACACACACACACACACACACACGATGGAATACTACTCAGCTATAAAAAAGAATGAAATTTTGCCATTTGCAACAACATGGATAGACTTGGAGGGTATTATACTTAGTGAAATAAGTCAGACAGAGAAAGACAAATACTGTATCTTATCATCTATATGTGGAATCTAAACAATAAAACAAAGAAATGAATATAATAAACAGAAACCTACACATAGAGAACAAGCTAGTGGTTACCAATGGGGAAAGGGAAAGGGGTTGGGGCAAGATAGGGGTAGGGATTAAAAGGTACAAACTACTTTGTACAAAATAAATAAGCTATGAGGATATATTGTACAGAACAGGATATACAGCCAATATTTTACAATAACTTTAAATGGAGTATATATAATCTGTAAGAATTTTGAATCACTATGCTGTACACCTGAAACTAATATTGTAAATCATCTAAACCTCAATTTAAAAAACTGATTAAAAAAGAAATCTTAAAATTAAACAAAAGCTTACAGCAATGCAGGAAGCATTTATTCAAGAAAATCAGATAAATTCCAATAAAACGTCAAGCTATATGGCATTACAGTTTGCCATATTCCCATCCCCTCTCCTCCAGCTCTGGGGTAGCCATGAAGACCGATAGGCCACAATCATGGTGAAAAACAGCATCAGGAAAGCTACCAGAGAGGACAGAAAAGGATTGGAGTACCTTCAAAGCCTCATTCCCAGACAACTGTCATTATTTGGCCTGTCTGATGGTTCTCTGAAATATCCCACTTGCAAAGATGTCTGTTTTTCCTGATGACCCAGTGAATACAAAAAGCCTTTTCCCCAGGAGAATTTGTCAGAAACAATTAGAGGAAATTATTTAACCTTGTGGCTGCCTGAGCCAATGGATAACAGTTGGAGCAAACAACAGACTAACAAAAAAGCCTAAAAAGGAAAGCCAGGAAGCAAGACATCCATAAGCGCTGCAACATATTCCTAGGAATCTAGAAGGCCATGCACATGCATAGGGTTATGCATATGTCCAGGGCTGTGTGTATGTTCAAAAAAGAACTGAAAAGGCCCTAATTTCTCACCTCAGGCTGACCTTTAGGCTCCATAGAAGCAGGAGTCGAAGGGTAAGGCAAAACTGACAGCTGCATGGCTGAGTGTTCAAGGCATGCCCCAACATTTACAAAGAGCTCTTTAGCAAAGACTGGGAGACTTATTGATTCCAGATATTTAAGGCAATCACTGTCTAATCATTAGCTGACAACTGAGCTAACCAAACAGAGATTTCAGTGGCCACACACAACAAAGAACACAGACTTTATAGAATTAGTTCAGAAGTCACTGAACAAACAATAACAGTGACAAACAGCAACAAATAACAAACCCTGAGGAGAGGGGAAGAATCTTATTTCCAGAGTTACTACATTATATTTTCAACAAAAACTGTCAGACATACAATGAAACAAGAAAGTATGGCCTATACACAGGAAAAAACTTTCCCTGATGAAGCCCAGACATTGGATTTACTAGGCAAAGATCTTGAATCAGCTATTTTAAATATATTCACTGAACTAAAGGAAATGATGTCTAAAAAATTAAAGGAAAGTATAAGACAATATCCCACCAAACAGAGAGTATCAATAAAGACAGAGATTATTAGAAAGGCCCAATGGAAGTTTGGAGTTGAAAAGTACAATAACTGAAATGAAATCAGTGCCTATAGTGAAATTTATAAGTGCCAATATTTTAAAGTAAGAAAGATCTCAAATAAATAACCTAACTTTCTACCTTAAGACACTAGAAAAAGTAAAACAAACTAAACCTAAAGCAAACAGATGGAAGGAAATAACAAAGGTTAGAGTGAAAATTAACAAAAGAGAGAATAGAGAAAATCAACAAAACCAAAAGTTGGTTACTTGAAAAGATTGACAAAATTGACAAACTTTTGGCTGGAGTGATGAAGGAAAAAAAAAAAGGAAGACTCAAATGATTAATATCAAGAATGAGGACTGACTGCTAATAGGTATGGGGTTTCTTTTTTGGGGTGATGAAAATGTTTTGAAATTTGATAGTGGTGATTAGTTGTACAACTCTGAGAATATATTAAAAACCACTGAAATGTACACTTTAAAAGGGTGAGTTTTATGGTATGTAAATTATATTTCGATAAAGGTATTAATTTTTAGAAGTCTTTAAAAAGTACAAACCAACCCATTCTTTGTAATAGCTGCTTAGTATCCCATGGTATGGATGTATGTATCAGTCTCCAATGACCGACATTTAGTTTGTTTCCTATCTTTTGCTATTATAAAAATACTATAATAGGACTTCCCTGGTGGTCCAGTGGTTAAGACTCTGTGCTTCCAATGCAGGGGGCGCAGGTTCGATTCCTGGTCAGGGAACTAAGATCCCACATGCCACGTGTGGCATAGGCAAAAAAAAAAAAATACTATAATGAACACCTTTGCGCACATATAATTTCATACATATCCAAATATGTCTGCTGGATAATTTCCTACAAGTGGAGCTTCTGAGGCAAAGGCTATGCGCAATTTTACTTTTGATAGATATTGCCAAATTCTTCTGTTGAGTCCTTGTCTCAATTGACATTCCACCAGCAATATATGAGAGATCAAACACAGTGTTAACAAAATTGCTTTTTATCTTTACCAATCTCACAGGTGGAAAATGGCATTTCAGTGCAGTTTTAATTTGCTTTACTCTTATTAAAAGTGACATCGAACATTTTTTCATTTAAAGAGGTATTGTTTTGGTTTTTCTGTGAACTGTTAGTTCATATCCTTTACCATCTTTCTTTTGGTTTGATGGCTCTTATTGATTTACAACACTTCTTCATATATTAAGGAAATTAACCTTCATTTATGATATGAATTACAATTATTTTACTTGCCTTTAGACTTTGTTTATGGTGTTTTTCTCCCAAGAAGAAATTTTTATGTACCTGAAGTTATCAACCTTGTCTTTTATGGATTTTGTATGATATTTAGAAAGACTCTTCCTACTCTAATATTATTTTTTAAATGATAGATTGGATGTTATCACTGGGAAAAGCTAGGTAGAGGCTACAGGGAAATCCTCTGTACTATTTTAGCAATTTCTTTGTGAGTTTAAAATTATTTCCACAATGGACTGATGGACTGATGTATGATAAAACAAATATAGTAAAATGTTAATTGTAGAATCTATGCAGTGTGTGTAAGAATGTTCAACTGTACAATTCTTTTGACTTTCCTGATGTCTGAAATTTTTAAAATAGAATATTGAAAAAAGCTCCAAATATTTCTTCTAGTAATTTCATGTAGGAATCATACTATATTTTAGAAGTTGATTTTCATTTATTCATTCAAACCCAATTCTTGTTTATTGGTTCTTAATAGAGATGATTATCTTTTTTTTTTTTTTTTTTGGTGGTACGCGGGCCTCTCACTGTTGTGGCCTCTCCCATTGCAGAGCACAGGCTCCAGATGCACAGGCCCAGCAGCCATGGCTCACGGGCCTAACCGCTCCACGGCATGTGGGATCTTCCCGGACCGAGGCACGAACCCGTGTCCCCTGCATTGGCAGGCGGACTCTCAACCACTGTGCCACCAGGGAAGCCTGAGATTATTATCTTTTACATTCTATGCTTGAAGGCCACCATTGTCATATCTTTCCAGTTTCCTTAATTTTCATTTTATGTTTTATTGTCCCCACATTTTAATTATTTTTCAAACTCTTTTCTGAATTCTTGCCAAGTTTTTCCTGCAAATTCTATTAACCACACAAAATGTCTTACTTACAACAAGTTCCAAAACACCATCCCCTTCATCAGCATTTTCTATCACAGTGGCTCCAAATCCAAGCTCTCGGATTAACTCGGCTATCATCGGGGGTTGTATGACAGCAGGGTTATATCTTACTTCTGCCTTCCCAGCCATCAGAGCCACAAGTACAGAATATATTCCTAGGAATATTGATAAGAAAAACAATTCAGATAACATTTCTCATAAAAATAATAATCTTATGATAGTTTTTTTTTCATTTAACTGTGAAAGGATTAAGTGAATCTGGAGAAATTTATTTCTTAACTTTTATACAGTATTGAGCCAAAATCAAAACTATTTTAAAAGAAGGCTTCATTTTAAAAAACTTTTTAGTATGGAAATTTTCAAATACATACACACACACACAAAAGAGAAAACATAATAAACTTGATGTACCCATCTCTCAGCTTCAGTAATTATCAGTAACACTGGGCTGCTCTTGTTTCATATATATTCCTACCCACTCACTCTCTGCCCTTTACCCTGATTATTTTGAAGCAAATCCCAGATATCGTATCATATGTAAATATTTAAATACATATAACTAAAAGATAAGACTCTTTTCTTTAAAAAAGAACCATAATACCATTATCAAACCTAAAATAATTCCTCAATATCATCAAATATCCAGGCAATGTTCACATTTCCACAACTGTCTTATAACTGTTTAACACTCTTTGTTTGCTTGAATTGGGATCCAAATAATGCCCATGAATTGTAATCCATTGAGACCTTATCATGTAAATATAAAGTATTTTTAGAAACTCGTAAGACAGAGTCCTAGAGAAAGGAACTCGTGTACTTAGGAAATGACTGCAGTTGTAGCAAAGAACCCAAGAATATACCAACATACACATTACAATATTGCCAAATAACAGTAATTTCTTTCTCAAGTTTTATTGTCTGACATACACTAATCTAAAATGCTCTCATTCCTAAGAAAAAAAAAGTGCCACACAACTTAACAAAGAAGTTCATTTTATGGCAGTCATGCTGTTCTCTGGTGTAAGAATTTTGTTAACAACCATCCCACTTCTCTAGACCAGCTATTGCTGTAACTGCCAGGAAGAAAATTAATAACGTGAAGTAGAAACGGCAGTTCTTTCTAGGAATCAGCAACCCTTGGTGGCTACCAGAAAGGGAATAGGGATCAACAGTCCATAGGTTAGATCTGGGTTTTGAAAAAAAGAAAAAATATCCAAATATTAATTTAATAATAGTTTTTAATAAGAAGACAAAGTATCTAATATAATCTAAGTTTTCTGTATAAAAGTGGTTAAAAAATAAAATACTATTCTTTTCTTTGGAAAAAATAATGGTTACACACTGGGTTTTGTGGGTACCAAATAATTCAGAAGATCAGATCACAGGAAAGTATCAGTAATAAGAGAAGGGTGTAGAGAAAGTAGGAAAAAAATCTTCTTGCTTCAGTTGAATGTAATCTACAGCCAAAGAGAAAGAGAAAATCTGGGTTTTCAAGTTTCAAAAACATGTTTCATACTTATATAAATTATGGAAAATTTTTAAAATTCTTACTTCAAAATATAATTAGAACTCTATCAATTCATTTTTAAAAATATAATGCAGATGAAACTGAGGGAAGACCAGTGTCACTTAATTAAAAAAACAAAAGTGAATGTAGTGACCCCAGCTAGGGCAACGGTATGCCTAACTGGGTTAGGAGGAAGTAAAGGGGTAGTAGAAGGTAACTGGAAGTATCAGCTTAATGGATTAAAGAAGAAAAAAGATCTGTAACTGTAATTTGTTAACAGGCATTGCTTGTCTCATGAGAAAGGCTATTTCTGAACTGCCCCAAAAGAGTTTGTTCTAAAATTAAACAGACCCCTTGAAAACTTCTTTTTGCTTTCATTTGCTTGCAACTTCCCTCCTGTTCTTTTTTAATCACTCAAAGTGTAATTTAGCCCTGACTGCATTATAATTAGATATAATGGAGGCTGAAATGAAGGACGCAGAAATGAAAGAATGCAAACAAGAAAATATTGAACTGAAGATGACTCTAGTGTATAACATACATTTTGTTACAATAATGTTCTGGCCTTTACATATAAGGTGATTCCACTGGCTACAGAATTCCATTATTACAGTGTATACTTTGAGTTATTTCCCCAATAGTGGGGATAAGCTTATAATAATCATATTTATTCAGCCCTTCTGAGTAACAGCATGTATCATTAAGACATCTTGGGCGAGGGCTGTTTGAGTACCAAACCTATGACTTCAGGCTCATTAAACATACTCATGTATCTCTACGGTTAACAAATCTACTATGCATACTGTGAAGTCCATTAATGTGAGTGCAAAATTTTAAGCTAAAACATCTGAGTGTGACTGATTAAAAACCAATATTGTAGAATGGCTTGAAGATGGTGGACAAGAAGGACCTGCCCTCACTCCCTCCTGTGAAAGCACCAGAATCACAACTAACTGCTGAACAATCATCGACAGGAAGACACGGGAACTCACCAAAAAGATACCCCACATCCAAAGACAAAGGAGAATCCACAATGAGACAGTAGGAGGGGAGCAATCACAATAAAATCAAATCCCATAACTGCTGCGTGGGTGACTCACAAACTGGAGAACACTTATACCACAGAAGTCCATCCACTGGAGTGAAGGTTCTGAGCCCCACGTCAGGCTTCCCATCCTGGGGGTCCGGCAATGGGAAGAGGAATTCCTTGAGAATCAGACTTTGAAGGCTGGCGGGATTTGATTGCAGGACTTTGACAGGACTGGGGGAAACAGAGACTCCACCCTTGGAGGGCACACACAAAATAGTGTATGCATCGGGACCCAGGGGAAGGAGCAGTGAACCCATAGGAGACTGAACCAGACCTATCTGCTACTGTTGAAGGGTCTCCTGCAGAGGCAGGGGGTGGCTGTGTCTCACAGCGAGGACAAGGACACTGGCAGCAGAAGTTCTGGGAAGTGCTGCTTGGTGTGAGCCCTAGCAGAGTCCGCCATTGCTCCCACCAAAGAGCCCAGTAGGCTCAAGGGTTGGGTCGCCTCAGGCCAAACAACCAACAGGGAGGGAACGAAGCCCCACCCATCAGCAGACAAGGGAATTAAAGTTTAACTGAGCTCTGCCCACCAGAGCAGCACCCAGCTCTACCCACCACCACTCCCTCCCATCAGAAAACTTGCTCAAGCCTCTTAGATAGCCTCATCCACCAGAGGGCAGACAACAGAAGCAAGAAGAACTACAATCCTGCAGCCTGTGGAACAAAAACCACATTCACAGAAACACAGACAAGATGAAAAGGCAGAGGACTATGTACTAGATGAAGGAACAAGATAAAATCCCAGAAAAACAACTAAATGAAGTGGAGATAGGCAACCTTCCAGAAACAGAATTCAGAATAATGATAGTGAAGATGATCCAGGATCTTGGAAAAAGAATGGAGACACAGATCGAGAAGACACAAGAAATGTTTAACATACACTGAGAAGAATTAAAGAACAAACACCTAGAAGAATTAAAGAACAAACAAACAAAGATGAACAATACAATAACTGAAATGAAAATTACACTAGAAGGAATCAATAGCAGAATAACTGAGGCAGAAGAACAGATAAGTGACCTGGAGGACAGAATGATGGAAATCACTGCCATGGAACAGAATAAAGAAAAAAGAATGAAAAGAAATGAAGACAGCCTAAGAGACCTCTGGGACAACATTAAGCTCAACAACATTTGCATTATACGGGTCCCAGAAGGAGAAGAAAGAGAGAAGGACCCAAGAAAATATTTGAAGAGATTATAGTCAAAAACATTCCTAACATGGGAAAGGAAAGAGCCACCCAAGTCCAAGAAGCACAGACAGTCCCATATAGGATAAACCCAAAGAGAAACACGCCGAGACACATAGTAATCAAACCATCAAAAATTAAAGACAAAGAAAAATTATTGAAAGCAGCAAGGGGAAAACAAGAAATAACATACAAGGGAACTCCCATAAGGTTAACAGCTGATTTCTCAGCAGAAACTCTACAAGCCAGAAGGGAGTGGCATGATATACTTAAAGTGATGAAAGGGAAAAACCTACAACCAAGATTACTCTACCCAGCAAGGATCTCATTCAGATTGGATGGAGAAATCAAAAGCTTTACAGACAACCAAAAGCTAAGAGAATTCAGCACCACCAAACCAGCTCTACAACAAATGCTAAAGGAAATTCTCTAAGTGGGAACCATAAGAGAAGAAAAGGACCTACAAAAACAAACCCAGAACGATTAAGAAAATGGTAAAAGGAACATACATATTGATAATTACCTTAAACGTGAATGGATTAAATGCTCCAACCAAAGACACAGGCTCATTGAATGGATACAAAAACAAGACCCATACATATGCTGTCTACAAGAGACCCACTTCAGACCTAGGGACACATACAGACTGAAAGTGAGGGGATGGAAAAAGATATTCCATGCAAATGGAAATCAAAAGCAAGCTGGAGTAGCAATACTCATATCACATAAAATAGACTTTAAAGTAAAGAAATGTTACAAGAGACAAGGAAGGACACTACATAATGATCAAGAAATCAAACCAAGGAGAAGACAACAATTATAAATATATATGCACCCAACATAGGAACACCTCAATACATAAGGCAACTGCTAACAGCCAAAAAAGAGGAAATTGACAGTAACATACTAATAGTGGGGGACTTTAACACCTCACTTACACCAATGGACAGATCATCCAAACAGAAAATTAAAAAGGAAACAGAAACGTTAAATGACACAATAGACCAGATATATTTAATTGATATTTATAGGACATTGCCTCCAAAAACAGCAGATTACACTTCCTTCAAGTGCACATGGAACATACTCCAGGATTGATCACATCTCGGATCACAAATCAAGCCTCAGTAAATTTAAGAAAACTGAAATCATATCAAGCATCTTTTCTGACCACCACCCTATGAGATTAGAAATGAATTACAGGGAAAAAAACGTAAAAAATACAAACACATGGAGGGTAAACAATATGTTACTAACTAAGAGATCACTGAAGAAATCAAAGAGGAAACCAAAAAATACCTAGAGACAAATGACAATGAAAACACGATGACCCAAAACCTATGGGATGCAGCAAAAGCAGTTCTACAAGGGAAGTTTATAGCTATACAAGCCTACTTCAAGAAACAAGAAAAATCTCAAAGAAACAATCTAACCTTACACCTAAAGGAACTAGGGAAAGAAGAACAAACAAAATCCAAAGTTAGCAGAAGGAAAGGAATCATAAAGATCAGAGCAGAAATAAATGAAATAGAAACAAAGAAAACAATAGCAAAGATCAATAAAACTAACAGCTGGCTCTCTGAAAAGATAAACAAAACTGATAAACCATTAGCCAGACTGATCAAGAAAAAGAGGGAGAGGACTCAAATCAATAAAATTAGAAATGAAAAACGAAAAGTTACAACAGACACCACAGAAATACAAAGCATCCTGAGAGACTACTACGAGCAACTCTGTGCCAATAAAATGGACGACCTGGAAGAAATGGACAAATTCTTAGAAAGGTATAACCTTCCAAGACTGAACCAGGAAGAAAGAGAAAATATGAACAGACCAATCACAAGTAATGAAATTGAAACTGTGACTAACAATCTTCCAAAAAACAAAAGTTCAGGACCAGATGGCTACACAGATGAATTTATCAAACATTTAGAGAAGAGCTAACACCCATCCTTCTCAAACTCTTCCAAAAATGTACAGGGGAAGGAACATTCCCAAACTCATTCTATGAGGCCACCATCACCCTTATACCAAAATCAGACAAAGATGCTACAAAAAAAGAAAATTACACACCAGTATCACTCATGAATATACATGCAAACATCCTCAACAAAATACTAGCAAACAGAATCCAACAACACATTAAAAGGATCACATACCATGATCAAGTGGGATTTATCTCAGGGATGCAAGGATTCTTCAATATATGCAAATCAATCAATGTGATACACCACATTAACAAATTGAAAAATAAAAACCATAGGATCATCTCAATGGATGCAGAAAAAGCTTTTGACAAAATTCAACACCCATTTAGGATAAAAACTCTCCAGAAAGTGGGCAGAGAGGGAACCTACCTCAACATAATAAAGGCCATATACGACAAACCCACAGCAAACATCATTCTCAATGGTGAAAAACTGAAACCATTTCCTCTAAGATCAGGAACAAGAGAAGGATGACCACTCTTGCCACTATTATTCAACACAGTTTTGGAAGTCCTAGCCACGGCAATCAGAGAAGAAAAAGAAATAAAAGGAATATAAATTGGAAAAGAAGAAGTAAAACTGTCACTGTTTGCCAATGACATGATACTCTACATAGAGAATCCTAAAGATGCTACCAGAAAACTACTAGAGCTAAACAATGAATTTGGTAAAGTAGCAGGATACAAAATTAATGGACAGAAATCTCTTGCATTCCTATACACTGACAACTAAAGATCAGAAAGATAAATTGAGGAAACACTCCCATTTACCATTGCAAGAAAAAGAGTAGAATACCTAGGAATAAACCTACCTAGGGAAACAAAAGACCTGTATGCAGAAAACTATAAGACAGTGATGAAAGAAATTAAAGATGATACAAACAGATGGACAGATACACCATGTTCTTGGATTGGAAGAATCAATATTGTGAAAATGACTATACTACCCAAAGTAATCTACAGATTCAATGCAATCTCTATCAAATTACCAATAGCATTTTTTTACAGAACTAGAACAAAAAATCTTAAAATTTGTATGGAGACACAAAAGACCCCTTATAGCCAAAGTACTCTTGAGGGAAAAAAACGGAGCTGGAGGAATCGGGCTCCTTGACTTCAGACTATACTATAAAGGGACAGTAATCAAGACAATATGGTACTGGCACAAAAACATAAATATAGATCAATGGAACAGGATAGAAAGCCCAGAGATAAACCCACACACCTATGGTTAACTAATCTATGACAAAGGAGACAAGGATATACAGTGGAGAAAAGACAGTGTCTTCAATAACTGGTGCTGGGAAAACTGGACAGCTACATGTAAAAGAATGAAACTAGAACACTCCCTAACACCACACACAAAAATAAACTCAAAATGGATTAAAGACCTAAATGTAAGACCAGACACTATAAAACTCTTAGAGGAAAACACAGGAAGAACACTCTTTGACATAAATCGCAGCAAGATCTTTTTTGATTCACCTCTTAGAGTAATGGAAATAAAAACAAAAATAAACAAATGGGACCGAATGATAGTTAAAAGCTTTTGCAAATCAAAGGAAACTACAAACAAGACACAAAGACAACCCTCAGAATGGGAGAAAATATTTGCAAACGAAGCAAGTGACAAAGGATTAATCTCCGAAATATACAAGCAGCTCATGCAGCTCAGTATCAAGAAAAACAGGGCTTCCCTGGTGGCACAGTGGTTGAGAGTCCGCCTGCCGATGCAGGGGACACAGGTTCGTGCCCCGGTCCGGGAGGATCCCAAATGCCACGGAGTGGCTAGGCCCGTGAGCCATGGCCACTGAGCCTGCACGTCCAGAGCCTGTGCTCCACAATGGAAGAGGCCGCAGCAGTGAGAGGTCCGCGTACCGCAAAAAAAAAAA